GTATCTGTATGGACCTCTTTTAAATTTACAGGTTTCATCCTGTTCAGAGCTAACGTCTACATCTACATCTACATCTACATCATCACACTCCATGTTGGAATGTAAATTGTCAGCTTCAATTTTAGTTGGGGGGACTGCTTCATTGTAATCACTGTAACAAAAACAGGATTCTAATGGAGCTGTCTGACCGTCCAAATCCATGAGGTCTGGGTCCAAAGGGAAAGAATTACCTAGTCCATCAATATACTTGTCAGTATATAATTTCAGTTCAAAGTTCATTTCTTTCATTGTTCCTATTTAATTTGTGATGCTATTGCAACAAAATCGCATAGGAGCGAAAAAAAAAAACTATGACCAAATGTCGCTTTTTTTTTTTAATCGTGACTTATATGCGGCACAACAATAACAGAATTTTCTACCCACTTTCTAAGTAGATTCTAAGTCCATATCTATATATTAGCCTAAAAACACTAACTTGCTGCTTTTACTGCGACCACACTACAAGTAAGGTTTGAAATCTTATGTCGTATTAGTATGAAATTTTTGTCGCACTGGTTTGAAATTTTATGTCGTCTTAGTATGAAAAATTATATCACGCTGGTTTGAAAAATTCAGTCATTTTAGTATGAAAAATAAATGTTGCGTTGGTATGAATTATTATGTCGCACTAGTATGAAACAAAAATAAAAAGACTGTATGACACGACACGCACACACTTTTTGTCTTTAGTGTGGCGTGTGTGTGTATGTAACAAAATTCTTATCTCTTGTAAGTAGTACATAATTACTATGTTGTATCATAGTATATTTTAGTTAGATAGATAGATTAGAGACATAGAGACATAGAGACATATGTAATTAGTCATTAGTTTTACAGTATATATGTGACTGAAAACTGAACAATACAAACATTATAGTCACTACTTTGTAAGAAACACTATGTTAGTTAGTTAGTTAGTTAGTTAGTTATAGTTGTGTAGTAAATTAGTCATCATCCTTAATACTTAATGCACTTACTGTACTGTTACTTACTTTACTTACTTAGTGTATACTTATTGTAATTTCTCTCTCTGTCTGTCTTTCTCTACCAAAAAAAAGAAGGTAAATATTATATGCAGGACTCATATATTTATTTTTACACTTTATCGCACACACATTTATATTTCTTTATAATCATAACCTTTTACCACCACCACCAATAACAACAACATCTTCATAATCCTTTACCACAGAATTTACTTGTTACTACTATTTACTAGCACCATCGCCCCCACTAGTTACAAAAACAGTGCATTTTACAAAACACTAAAGTATATGTTCATATACTTATCACCAAATGTCTGACAGCCACAAGCAACCGCCATATCATAACAACCAACACTATCAACAGCAGCCACCCTCTAGTGCTAGTTCTAATACCACTACTATTAATCGTATTACTCAACACCACCTCTCTAACGCAGTGCCACCACCAGCAAAAACAACAACAACAATGCGAACTACCATGCCACAGCATCCCGCGCCACCCCCCTTACATAATGACCGAACCACGGGAATACATGCTGCAGAGGCTGCTTCATCTACAACAACTACTGCCACGACTACAACCACAAACACTTCTATATTGTCTGCCAGTTTATCCTCAAATGCCTCCACTAGAAAAACTGAATACATTGGAGTATATGCAGTTGGACGTGAGATTGGAAAAGGCTCCTTTGCTATCGTATACAAGGGCCATGACACAACCACCAATAAGCCAGTGGCCATCAAGTCCGTTTATCGATCCAAATTGAAATCAAAAAAACTTGTCGAGAATTTGGAGATTGAAATTCAAATATTGAAAACGATGAAACATCCGCATATAGTGGGTTTACTTGATTATAAACAAACAGCTGCTCATTTCCATTTGATTATGGACTACTGTTCAATGGGAGATTTATCTTATTTCATTCGAAGAAGAAGTCAACTTGTTAAAACCCACCCGGTGATTTCTAGTTTATTAGAGAGGTACCCTTCACCGCCTAATTCCCATGGCCTAAATCAAGTGTTGATACTACACTTCCTTCGTCAGTTGTCATCAGCATTGATTTTTTTACGGGAAAAGAGTTTGGTTCATCGAGATATTAAACCACAAAATTTACTCTTGTGTCCTCCTTTACATTCAAAACAAGAATTTATCAAGGGTGAGTATAGTGGAATGTGGGAATTGCCAATTTTAAAGATTGCTGATTTTGGTTTTGCCCGTTTTTTACCTTCGACTTCAATGGCAGAAACTCTATGTGGGTCTCCTTTGTATATGGCACCTGAAATCTTGCGATACGAGAAATATAATGCTAAGGCCGATTTATGGTCGGTGGGAGCTGTATTGTATGAGATGACTGTGGGTAAACCACCTTTCAAGGCAGGAAATCATATTGAGTTGCTAAAAAATATTGAAAAGGCAAATGATAAGATAAAGTTCCCCTCCGCAGCCGAAGTACCTGACTCTTTGAAACAGTTGATTAGATCACTTTTAAAGTACAATCCTACGGAGAGAATATCATTCCAGGAGTTTTTTAATGATGATTTAATTACATGCGATTTGGAAGATACCGATAAACCTTTGGAAACATCGGATATGGATGAGAATTTGTTTATTAGTGAGTACATCAGTCCCATAAAACCATCAGAAAGATCTCAATTGATAAAAAATGACACTATAACTCCTATGACACCAGCATTCGATCCTATTACAAAGGCGATCCAAGATCAGGATCGTGACCAGGTGCTGGTTGATGAAGTTGATGCTATATCATTGCCAAGACAGGGTGTTAAAGCAGATCCAGCACCCATCGATAAATATAAGGAAAGAGATAATGACAGTGCCAATACTACACGAGATGGCCCTTACGCAGAAGGTCGTAGTAGAGTGTCTTCTTCACGTGATGATGATATCAAGAGATTAATTGACAAAAATAGTCCTGATCCAGAGCACCTCAGTCACTCAATAGTAAACAATGATTCAACCCATTTCAAACTGAGAAAGGAAGATATGGTTCTTGAAAAGGATTACGTGGTTGTAGAAAAGAGAGTTGTCGAGGTCAATGCGGTAGCCGATGAACTTGCTCGTGCTGGTAGTGGTGCTGATGCCATGAGTGATCCCCGAAATCATTTGGAAGGCGATAAATCCAAACATCCACAGAGACCACTGCAGAGAAGTCGTAAGAACTCTCTTGGAGGGTATCAGCGAAGACCCAGTTTTACAGATCGACGAATATCAATCTCAATTTCACCAACCAACGCTTTAAGCAAAGCAATAGGTCTTGCGCTGCATCGTCTATTTGGTGGAAATAATGTCTCATCTGTCCCAAGCCAAATACCTACGACCACTGCTATATCGGAAGAGGGAGGGGATGTTCAAAATAGGAAAAGCAAAACGGACCTTGCTTCATTTTCAAATGTAATGTCTAGCCCCAATTTTGTCAACAACACCCTTTTACAAAAGTTGAATCTTCCTGTTTCATCAACTTTGGTTACATTGAGTGATGATGATGATAATGATGATGCGAAGAACGTAACACCCGATGAACTTGTCTTGAATAGGTTGGAAACTATTGCTACAAAGTCACATGCAGTGAATCTATTTGCCGATGTGAAATTTAGTCAATTGATCCCGAGTCCCCCTTCGTTGGATGATGCAGGGCATGAATTTTTGGACCACAACGACGCTTTACCGCCGAAAATTGTTCGCACTATATGTGAAGAAGGCGTTGTGCTTTATGTAAAAGCATTGTCTCTCTTAGCGAAAGGAATGTCTGTTGCGAGCGAATGGTGGTATGACCTGTTCAACAATGCGGTAGGTGATGAATATGGCAATGGTAATAACGCCAGGCGAGATATTCAGACTTCAATCAAGATAAACCAATTGGTGCAATGGATAAGGGAGAAATTCAATGAATGTTTGGAAAAGGCAGAGTTTATAAAATTGAGATTGCAAGAGGCCAATACAGCTATTGCAAAAGCTGACGGTCTTGAATTTATTCCTGAAGCCCGGTCGAGCTCACAAAAAGTGATTGCAGAGAGACTAATTTTTGACAGAGCATTGGAAATGTCTAGGAATGCAGCTGTCAATGAATTAGTAAAAGAAGATTTAAAAGGATGCGAGTTGGCATATAGTACTGCCATTTGGATGCTTGAAGCACTATTGGATGAAGACGATACGAAGGAGCACGAGAATGAACGCAAATTGGATAATGAAGATAGAGTCATGGTTGAAAAGTTCATTGTTAGCATCGGCAATAGATTATCGGTTTTAAAGAAGAAGATGGAATTAATATAACTGGGTTGGAAATTTGGCAAGGTTACTTTTTCTTGTTATTATTGTTGGTTTTTTATATATATAGTTTTTTTATTTCTGGCAGACTATGGATAGATTAACAGGTTTTATTTTTAATGTGAATATGGTTTATGAAATTTATACTTTGATACCACGGGAAAGGCATCTTGTAAAGAGCTATGTCTACTGTAGGAAAATCTCAGATATTTTTCTGTAATCTGTTCGTGTCAGATACATAGTGCATCTATTGAAAGAGATATCATCACTCAAACATCGCTCGTGTGTCCATTCCACGTTATTAAATATTATCTACGCAAGTAGCTTGCTACACAAATCATCAAACCACTCTAGTCCTGCAAACACTTTTGAATAGAAGAAAACACTTATTAAGAGTATAATCGAACAAACTTCGCAACAAATCCTCCCAAACTGGTGATCTCAAGTAGGAAAATGTAGTCAGCTACAATCTACAACGAAAGTGGTATTGGCTCCCTCTTCACTCCACTCCCCAACTCGCAACCGAAGATTATAGAGCAGTTTACAGCTTTACACTAAGAAGGCTCGGGCAGGTTTCAATTTCGGAGTCAAAGGCAGAGAAAAATTTTGATATGTCCCGGCTCTCCAGGCGGCGTCCAAAAAATTATGGACTTTTGTAGGGGGGATGGGGTCTGAATGGGTAGCCCCATCACACCTCCAAAGAGGTACCCTGCAAGAGAGACCTGCTTTGGCGTTGTTTCTAATTCAACAGAAGATGCGACAACCTCCTCTGGTATGCTCTCCTGCAATGAGTCTCTAGGAGCAGTTGAGTGTGTCTCCTGTACTCAGTGAACACCCTCTACGTGACCCCAGGAGGAGGGAAGGACTGTAGAGCCATAGGAATGCAGGGACGTAGGACGTAGCAACGCAAGACTGTAGCATCATGTATATGTTGTAAGACGAGGGCGTTGCTGCAAAAAAGAGTGTCTACCAATAGCCAGTATTTTTTCTTAAGGGGAAAAACTACAAATACAGTCAGTTGTGTTGCATAATACATTAAAGCAAGGTGAAGGGAAGTGCAACAACTACAAACTGAATAGAGACACCAGACTAGTGATACATCTCTCTATCACACTCAGCTGAGTCTATCTGGTAAACGATTCAATCATTACTATTTTGTCTCATTGTCTTGCTATGGCAATTTTCATCCATCCGAACTGTCGTGCGATACTGTGCGACATTGTAAATACAAATAGCTTATTTTCATGCATAACAAAATTCCACAAACTCTTCTGTCAGTTGCACACATGTAGTTACAAGAAAACAGCTAGTGCAGTACTGCATTAAGAGGTGGTATTAGAGACAGCGTAGGATTGAAAGCAATACACCAGATAGTGATAATGAGAACCAGCAGTGGCCAATGGATCAGTTGGGGAATTCAGCGGTGTGGATGATTCGTGTTAGCACCCGATGCCAAGTGAGGAGACCGAGTTATGGAGACCATTAATTAGACACCAAATCTGTTAGAGTACATTTTGGAATCAGTCAGGACTTTTTCCAAGCAGAATGGATAAAGGTGGGAAGGTTATATTTGAGCTTGGAGTATTGAATGGAGCTGTATGTGTGATCAGCTGGGCTTAATTCAATGGTGACACTGATATCACCAGAAACACAACGGGTATGAATGTGAATGGGTATGAATGTGAATGGGTATGAATGTGAATAGGCCATGTACCTGAAATCCGTTGCTCAAGTGTCAGCACACAATCTGGATGTCAGTCAAAGCAGAGACTGAGGGAGGTATGTTTTCTGCAAGTAGTGACTTAATTATTTACATTTTGAATTGAAGCAATCTGAGGTGGCTCATGACCTTGACTCTGTTACTTATATTACTGACTGCTATTAGACATCTGGGTGTCACTAGAACCACGCCCAACAAGTTACGCATTTAGCAATCAAGGGAATTACTTCGACTTCATCACTCCAATTAGATTACCATCAAGTATTGAAGAAGAAGTACGCTACTCATCCAGACATAACTAGCACCACATCGAACTCCTTATGAAGGACCCATGCTGGATTAAAGAGCATTATGAGACTCACTCGCAGAAACAACCGACAGTATCAATCCTTATGTGGATTACTGAGAGAAAATACGTCATTTGAAGCAAACCAAACCAAAGCTCATTGCAAAGTATGATGTCAGTTGTGGCATCAATACTACGTTGTAAGCTCCAACTTCCTTCAAAATCAATTTGCCAACCAAGTGCAGAGTACAAGCTAGTGCTTACTCACCATAAAGCTGGGGTAATTATTGAACACAGTTCCTAGGTTAAGAAGAAACATTCACTAGACAGAGAACTCTAGATGGGAAACACAGGGAGAAAGTATTGAAGGATGGTAACGAGCCCATCGATGTCATCTTTAGAAACCTTTTGTTGAATGGCAGTGTCTGACATTATTGTTACTAATTAATTAGTTGTATCCTTAATTGTATGTATTCTAGTTACTCACTATATCTAAACCTATAGGCAAGAAGGTCAACTTCTATTCTATTTATACTCTACAATACACGGTTCTAGGATTTCCGTGTATCTGCATGGCATACATGAGCTGCATAATTGTAATTCCTTGAATGTTAACACATGTCAATAATGTCAGCAACTGCAGCATCACATCTTTGGCTTGCTTTCTCTCCAACATTTCCATTATGATTTCCCCAAAATTGGGCTAGTAATATGATATGAGCAACAGTATGTCCACTCTGAAGAAGCGTGCCTTGTGGTTTAGCTGTGCAGCCTTTCTGTCCTCGCGAATCTTTTCGGGAGTCTTCCAATTGGCTTTCGTAACAATCCCTGCTTTTACTCCTTGTTTGATGATTCAGAGCGATACGTGTGCATCCGCAGCTTTCTGCAGTGGTGCTGAAGCATCCCAAATTTAAATTCTCGTTTCTTTTCCTCAAGACCTCTCCACTTGGCAGTCCAGCATCTTTGTATTCTCGTTTCTTTTCCTCAAGACCTCTCCACTTGGCGGTCCAGCATCTTTGGTCCTTCACAACATGTATCAGCAGCAAGGTCGGAATGTTGCTTAAATCGATTTCAACATCTACCTTGCATTTAGAAGTTGAAGCGCCATAGATCCCTGCTTGGTTGCGTCCTCTGTGGTAACCATATCTCCCTTCAATAGGCAACGACCGAAGATCATAATTGTAGCCCGAACTTAGTAAGCAAAATACAGCTCACCTTCCATTCTGTAGTGGAACCATGAAAATGATTAGAATTGGGAAGTTTTAGATGGTGCTTAGTCTCAATTCACAACACCTGATACACTTTGATTCCCATTTGCCTCAATGGAGATTTCTAAGCCTTCCTTCATAAGGGTAGGCGATGCTGGTTATTTTTGCAACAATATCGTGTCACGCCCTTCAATCCAACATAATGCGTTAATCATTGTCCTCTTGCAACCCTACTCTCTCTTTCTCTCGCGCGCTCTCTCTTACAATAGTGTTCCCAACTTATTCGTATCTGAGCATGATGTGTATACTTTATTTAATAATTGATCATGAGGTTGTAGGAATGGTGAAGTCATAGCATTTGGGTCACATCTTCCAGGTACAGCATTCGGTTACCATAGGACAGGGTTGACTGACACTTTCTGGGATTACCTCAAAAGTAAATGGCCCTAAAGGCGTCCTAGCTTCACCATCTCTCCATGTAAACAAATTGGTGTTGGATACACTTTGTTCCGAGAAACCTAGCAAGTCGGTTAACATATTGATTGAAGTGTAAGCCGGTTTCAGTGCTCCTCTAATTCGAGTCAGTTGGTCACTCGTACAGCTCCATTCAATACTCCAAGCTCAAACATAACCTTCCCACAATCGTCCACTCTACTTGTAATAAATTTCTACTAGAAATGCTTTTGTTCTAACATGTTTGGTGTTTAATTAACTGTCTCCATATTTATTGGATGCCGCCTGGGTGTGCCAGGACATGTCAAAATTTTCTCTGCCTTTGATCCTGAAATGGCATCTGCATGAGAGGTCGTACTTAGTAAACAACCCTGTATCGACTCAAAATAGAGAGTAATATCAGCCCTGTAGTAGGATGGGTATTGTACATTAAATTATTTACATCTTCTCAAGGCAGAAGTATCCACACCCAACTTATCTCTTAGAACAACTTGTCTAACCGAGCAAGAGGATTATTTAGATTCTTTATGTTGAGGGTTGTATGTTAATTCTTCAATACAAAGGCTTCGCCTATTTGCTCTAATGGAACTCAATTTAATCACCGCCCTTTCCGTACTTTTAGTGAAAGTAAGCAAATTTATTCTATCTTGGATACTGTCTGCTAGTTCACCAACTCTGTGAGTCTTTGGTGAGTAGTCACGGTCCCAATTCAATTAGGTTGTATAATTAGTTGGTTTACTGATTCGTGTTAAATTCATATTATACTAAAAACCATAAAAATGTTAAAACCTACATGTTTCTTCACACTGAGTATCATGTTTTATTGCAGCATCTCCTCCAGCCAGATAATATACCCTTTTGATGTACCACATATTCCAGTCATGGTACACCTGTCAAGATTTAGTTCACATACTTCTTGGCACGGATGAAGGAGTAGTTTTACGAAATTACTCTTGATCAATAACTTCGGTTTGATTCCAGATTCATGCGAAAGCACCATTGTGAAAATGGATGTTACCATCCAAGTATCGCGAAATTTCAAGGCATTATTGGTTCAATAATGAGATGCATCTGCACTTCTAGCAACATCAAGTTACTGTTTCACTTTTCTGTCTCAATATTATTGAATGAATATTCAGTGAAGTCTCTATTTGTGTATCTATTCTTCAGCTTGACAAAGCTTTTGGGAATATGTCAAAATTCGGATACCGAATAAAGTCTATATTGTAACGACAGTTTAAATCAGAGTCTAGGAGAATGCACTCAACCAATCAAGTCTTGGGGTTTGTAGAAGCCAACTCTAAAACAGTCAACAAAGCTTACACATCGATGACCTTTAAGACTCAAGTTTGTCACGTTGTAAGCGAAAAAAAAAAAAGAAATAAATGCTCCAGCTTTAGTCTCCTCAAAGAAATAAAAGTCTCGAAATAACTTTATAATGGCTTCACCTGGAAACTCTCGATTTCGTCTAACATCTTCTGAGTCTTCTCCAAGTAGCCCAACCAGGAAACGTTTTGTGATTTCCCTACATCGGCAATAACTTGGGCTAATTGAGGTAAAAACTTATCTTTTCCTGAAGTTTTATCAAGTTTGCTTAATAAGCGTTCTATATTTGACAAGGTCTTTTTCTTATATGCTGCAAGAAGCCGTATTTGAAAGTTGTTACGTGGCCTTTGCAGGAGCCGTAGCTCATCTTCCAAGATTGTTCGGATCCTATTGGCAGTATTTGAATCACTCTTCAAGGTCTTGGAGAATCGCCCTGGAAAACTTATTTCAACCCGATTAGATTCACTCACTAGCTCGGTGTTCGTAGTCCAGCGTAAACGTGTAATCAACGTCATGGCGGACGCTAACTCTTCAATGGTTTTTAAAATCTCCTTATTCCTGGTCTTGTTTGTTCCTTGACCAAACCCAATTTCAAACTCAAGATCATCTATAAAGTCCTCATTTGCCAGTCTGCTAAATACGTCGACTTCGGCGTTGAGGAAATGATACAACACTGTTTGTGCGACGAAAAATGGCAAGTCGTTTGAATGAATGGACTCCAAGGTGTAGAAAATAGCGGCTTGTAGCGAATCTGAGGAAATCCCAAGCGAATTCTCGTGATGTAGTATGAGATCCATTAAATATTCTTGGCTCACATTCTTCCCCGGTAAGCTATCCACTAGTACCAATTCTAAACGTCTTGCACCTAATGAGTGAAGCTCCTCATTAATTTGGATTTGGGCGGCTTGTTTCAAGTCAGGGAAAATAAACTTCTCATTGTTGAATCTTAGTGTAATGGGGATAACGACTTTTAACTCAGAAGTGACATACTGTATTAGGTGGTTAATCTCGCTCGTTGGTTTGTTTATGACAGTGCACCACGGTATTAAGATTGCTATGATAGTGCATATATAGATAAGCGATTTCGTTGCAATTGACATGCCTCCTCGTCCTCCTCTCTTTGTATCGGAATGGACCAACCGTGGGGGAAAGTAAGTTAATTTGTAGAGCGCATTCCCTGATTTTTGTTCAATCAAAAATAAAATCAAAAAAAATAAAAAAGAGACGAGACGAGTGGAAATACAAAGTCATCTCTTGGACCGAAATCATTCCTACGATGTCTGCCACACCTTCGTTACCTATAGCGCCAGCCATAAATCCCTCGGAGCAGGAAGAAACATACGTTCATGATGTCTACAACCAAATAGCGTCTCATTTTTCCAAAACCAGGTATAAGCCATGGCCTATAGTCGAGAAATTTCTACAAGGAAGAGCAAAATACTCAGTTGGGTTGGACGTGGGGTGTGGAAATGGAAAGTACTTGAAAGTAAATGAGGACCTATTCATTATTGGCTCTGATAGATCGGAGGGGCTTATCGGTTGTGCACAGAATGTATCTAACAATCAATATAACTTGGCCATAGCCGACGGTCTTTCGTTGCCACATCCTGATAATAAGTTCGACTTTGCCATCTCCATTGCAGTGGTGCATCATTTTTCCACTGAAAAAAGAAGGATCCACGCCATTCTGCATATATTGTCCAAATTAAAGAAGGGTGCTCAATGCTTGATATACTGTTGGGCGCTCGAACAGGCAAACTCGCGACGTGGTTACAAAGAAGGCGACGATCAAGATGTACTAATTCCATGGGTCCTCAGCAGCGGCTCCAAGAAATCAAAGAAGAATGCCTCTACTGAGAACACTAGCTCTCTTGACAGCAGCGTCGACGAAAGCACTCAAGAAAACGAGACCAAGTACAGGTACTATCATTTATATAAACAAGGAGAATTGCCTGAAAATGCGCTTGCCACTGGATTATGTACCATTGTGGATGAAGGATACGAGAAGGACAATTGGTGGGTAATATTGCAAAGGATATAGATGTTCAATAGCCCAAAAAAAATAAAAAACATAAATAAATAAATAAATAAAAGCCAACACTCTCACTTGTGCAAAAAATTACTTGCGGAGTGATCTGAGTTTCTTCAAATATGAATTCACCACAAGAGAAGCATGATAAGCTTATACGAGCTACCGACTTGGATGCATTGAGCTGTCGTTATAATATGAACATCAAGCGGTATCTCAATCCCCCCGATGAGTACATTGAAGACTTGATGAAGTCATATAGTTCATATTTACAATACTGCGCTGGGTATACATCCTTATCATCGTCAAGAAGCTCAAAATCGTTGTCTCAAGATAGAAAGTTGCCAATCATAAACCGTGGGACATACTTCAGAACAAGAGCAATCAGCGATGTGGTAGACGAGTTTGTGAGAGAATTTGTGAATTGTCAAGTTATATCCCTAGGAAGCGGATCAGACACCAGGGCATTTTCTATACTCGAAAAGCTGCCACAGGTAATATATCACGAGATAGATTTTGCCGAGACCACGAGAATCAAAAAGTTGGCGATAATGAAGAATAGAAAACTACGATCCATCCTTGGAGTGGAGGAAAACGTGCCTGAAATCAACTCAAAGGAATCATTTGCTGAGTACGACCCCGACCTACATTGTAAAAATTACCATCTTCATGGAAATGATTTAAGAAATGCAAACCCAGGTCCTAAGTTGAAGGGTTTTGACCCAGAACTTCCGACAATAGTTCTCAGTGAGTGCGTTTTGTGTTACTTGTCACCCGAGGAGTACTATTCAACAATCAAGTATTGGACCGGCTTAGGAAAAAACGTAACTGGAATTCTTATTTACGAACCCATGTCTTTGAAGGATCCGTTTGGCGAGACGATGTACCAGAACTTGCAAGGCCGAGGTTTGAATTTGCAGACCTTTGACAAGTACCCTGACCTCGAATCGAGATTGCAGTTTCTAAAATCTGAGTGCAAGCTTACGAAATTGCGCATGACCTCTTTAAGCAATATTGGTGGTTACAGTAAGAAACAGCATGCAGATGGATCATGGTTTGGTGCAAAGGAATTGCAACGGATCAATTCACTAGAGTTTGTTGACGAGATCGAAGAGATCAGGCTTTTGCTTGACCACTATTGTCTTTGTTACGCGGAATCTCGATCATCAGAGAAAGCTCCATCATTTTCAGGAATTGATAGATGGAATTGGCAGCTACAAGATCAGTAATCAGACATGAGTATAGTTTCTCAAACACTAAGCTCTCTTTTTCTAAAAATAAAGCAAGAAAAAAAAAAACATTTAAGTCTCTTTATACTTTCTAAGGTTGTCCCATCCAATAGAGTTTGAATTCGGTAATTTCACCACCTCAATTCTTGTCAAGTACTCATCGTTGGTACTTGTCGGAAATGTAGTAACATACTTTATTGGGTTCTTGATTGATGGGACCTCGTCTTTGCTTAAATCGGCGGAGTCCCTCAACTCTAAGGGTAGTTGTCTCAATATTTCCGGATGCTTGGCGGGCGAAACGAATTTCGAAACAATATCTAGTTGAGGAGTTTCTGCTGGTTGCGGAGGTTTCAAAGGCGTGAAAAATTGCTTCTTTTTTAATTCAAAGTCGCGTGTTAGATCATTCTGCTTCTTGTTAAACTCCGAATCAAGAGACTTTAACTTCTCCGCAACCTTTTCCTGTTCGTCATTCTCATTCATTGAGTCCTCAAAGGATGCTGCCAACTCCGAGCGTCTCCTAACTTCGTCCAACTCCTTCCTTTTTTCAACAAACTCCTGCTTTAGTTTCTCTATAGCTGCATGTTCATCACTAAATATCATTCGAAGTCTTTCTTCACGAAGCTTGTTGTCCTCAGCCCATTTTCTATGCTCCAATGAAACACGCTCTTTTTCCTTGAGTTCACTTCTTTCCAGCTGCAAAGCCTTATACTGTTCAAGATCGAATAATTTGAACTTGAAATAGCAGTTCCACGTGTCCTCTGATATTTCGCGATAAGAATTAAGCAAAAAGTTAAATTGTACACTGTTGTGTAACATCTCGAGATTTAGATAGTCTTCCGTATACTTTCGCTGCTCCGAGAGTAGCCCCTCCACAGCTTCCTTATTGAACCTTTCATGAGCCAATCCCTTTAAGGACTTGTTTTGCTTCTCCCAGTTCGAAAGCTTCGTCTTATGGAACTTCCTTCTATCATTAGTCATTGGAATCTTACTTATTTTCTTCATCAATGCGCCATCCTTGTAGTTTCCCGATCCCGGACCTCGGTAACTCTTTGTGTAAAAATATTTCGAATGATGATAGTTATCGCTTTCGTTGTTGAAAACTAGCTGCTGAATGTTTTTCGACATCTTGATTCCATCGTTGAAAAGAAAAGATGAGTTCGAGGTTGTGTTCAATTTTTTTGTATTAAATGATTGCAGCGGTGCTTGCTGATTCGATGTGATATAATAGTTGGGCACTTTGCACAAATGACTAACACTGAATTCAGGAATATAGCCCTGTCCAGGAGCGACCGATTCACTCAAATCCAAGCTATTAGGATCAATGTGAATATTGTTTTTCCTTGATCTGCCGAGTGGTTTTTTCAAACCCTGTCTACTCAAGGAATCTGAGCTCTCTTCGATTTGTACATCCAGAAAATTGTTTGACCCCAAAAGTAACTCCCTCTCGTTAAAATTAAGTTTGCTATTAGGAAGGAACCTAATCCCAGGAGACAGAAGAGTCTTGTAATAATTCAACTTTGTTGACGGATTCAAAGTACCAAACAGAGTGTGATTCAACCGAGTGGTGGATTCGACAATGCCGTATTGTGGAAATACTTGGCTCACTGTCACCTTGTCATCGCCAAGCGTTTCCAGGCTATACTTACGTTTGTGAAAATGGTGATGTCTGGCCTGCTTTGACAAAGCTTCTTCATCATGTTGTCCTTCTATACCTCTTTCGTCATCCACATCATCAACCTCGTCTTCCTCTTCATCGTCTATAAGTGGTTCTTCCTCCTTTCCCTCTGAAGCCACCAGCGTTATGCTATTAGATGCAGCAAGATCATACTCTTTTTCAACCGAATTTTCTTTAGCGTAGCCATCATTGTAAAACACATCCTTGTTTGCAATTTTCGAATAAATTAAAGGCAAGGATATGTAAAAAAGCCTATTCGAGTGGTCCTCCTTGGATATAGCCCCTTGACTTAATAGGGTGTCATTAATGGTGGGATCAGTTTGAGGAATGTCTTCTTTTTTAATCCCGTGCTTTGCAAGTAACAAAATCAATTGGTACGAGGATAAAAAATTCCACAATGCAGCCAAATGCTTTATCAAAACAAAGTCGTCGCCATTGTACAGGAATACGGGTACTGCGATGTTCCCCCTTTCGGAACCTGCAGTTATACTCGAGCTTGTTTCCGCATGTTCATTATCTTCAAACTCAAGAGGGACTTTTTGTATACCAATGGTTTTTTTCCTTGGACCTTGTCTTGGTAGTGTCACGGATAAAGTCATCTTAAATAACCCCCAAATAACACCAATATACCACCTCTTTTATACACAGATAAAGTAGTGAAAAATACTAGCCAGGAAGTAAGTGGTAGGATGCACGTCTGCAGTGCTTGCTTGATTGATTGATTGGTTGGGCTTTGTTGGTTTTATATTTGACCGAGGGACAGCTTCTCATAATCTTTCTCTCTCTCTTTGTTTTCATTTTCTTGTTTGGCAAAATAAAGTCGTGCGATATACAATTTAAATACTTGTAGAATAGCTCATGCAATTCCAATTCGAATTCGAGAAATGGATGAAGTCCTCCTCGAAATATTAGCAGTTGATGATTGCTGATGGATTTTCAAGTAATTAGCAACACAGTGAAGTATTTGCAAGTATTTGCATTATTATGGACCAAATATACCCATAAAAAACGAAGAAAGCATATTGGTAGATGAATGATCTTGACATGACCTTATGTCGACTTATGACATCTCTCTACCGTATCATTTCTTTCTCTACAGTATCCTGTGTCTAGTGTAGTTTTTCCCCTTAAGAAAAAATACTGGCTGCCAACAGCCAGTATTTTTCGCAGCAACGCCCTCGTCTTACAGCATATACACGATGCTACTGTCCTACATTGCTACTGTCCTCCAGTCCTCCAGTCCTTCCCTCTCCTACAAAAATCCATAATTTTTTGGACGTCGCCTGGAGAGCCGGGACATGTCAAAATTTTTCAGTTGGACTTTGACCTCGAAATTGGCACCTGCATGTGCCTTCTTACTACAATTACAACATAGTAGTTACCATCGGAAGATAATACTGTCTAACTTGTAGTATAAATGCAACCACTATTCCATCCCTTCTGTTACTCTTTAGTCCTATTGTTTAACTTCTTTTTTGTCATTATGCTTTTAGTTGTTGTTGTGTTTTCACAAGACTTGTATGATATAGGACGGATCTCGGCTAATTCTTTTCCTCTCCCCTTTTTTCTCCACAATGTGTCTTCGTTTTTTTTTCCTCTCTGTTGTGTATTTATCTCCGTTTTGAGGCGGATATATATATTTGACAAAACAGAGAGAAAATATATTCAACAAAACCTCTTTCACCCTGTTTTTCTTTTCCTTTCTCCCCCCACATTATCAATCTACGATAGTACTATCTTCTTGCAATCAAGCTATTTCGCAATGTCTGATCCAAGTGCCCGCATCATTTCTCACATGAACGAGGACCATCAACTCGCATTACGCGACTATGTTGTCGTATACGGCTCCGTTGATCCAAGATACTTGGTTGAAGACTCGGTTGGAATCAAGGAAGTTGACACTGAGAAAATCATTATCCAGTACGATGTGATCAATCCATCTTCGACAAATAAATTGAAGCTCAATTGGAAGGATATTAAAGAGAACAAAAATTTACAAGTCAAGTCTTTCTCCGACATCAAGTCTAAACTCATTGCAATGGCCAAATACAGTGCTGAAAAACAAGGGTTTGCCGAAAAGAAGTTGACTAAGCTTTTTGGACCCGATTCTATTGGCTTCCCCATGTACCCTATGTGGGTTATTTTGTTGCTCAATGCGTACAACCCTGCCATTTTGAGGACCTTTTTCAACAACACTGAATTGCTCAAGAAGGCGGCTGAGTACTTACCCACTGTTGCGTTTACAATTTACAATTGGTCCGAATTACATGCATTGAACCTTTGTATTGGCTTGTTTTTTGTCCACTTGGGAGAAGTGCTTTTTGTATCAAGGCCATTATTGAGAAAGTACAGAGCCTCAGCTGGATTAAGATGGGGATACTATTTGATCAATTTAATCGAAGGTTTCCCAGTCTTGCTTAGGTTGAGAAAGCATACTTAGTTAGAGCCATTATTTTACTGCATTGGATAGATATCTTCTCATACATTGGTATTTAATTTTGTATACAATAGAGGTATTTCGAGAGTAATCGTCTGTAACTTTGATGCAAAGGGATCTTCCTCCCCTGCTTTTTTACCTCTATCAACCGCTATGCTTGAATGTCCCCAAAGTCTCGCAAAGCTTCCACCACAGCACAACAAAGGTCATCCATCACCTCACTATTTGGACTTCTTTGCTTGCACGTCTTCCAACTCGTTGTCTTCAAGCGCGCGTTTCCTGGTTCCCGCTTCAACGTCACTTAGGTCCAACTCTTCTCCTTCTGAACTGTCCTCATCTTCACTGCCCTCTTCCCCTGACTCATTCGACAAAGCCACAATGTAGTACTTTAGTGCGTTTACAAAAATGTCCTCCGAAATCAAGTTTGCCAAGTCCTCGCCATTTCTAAACTCCTTCCCAGGTTTCTTACCCGTCCATGCGAACCACGAGAAAAATGACTTCATTCCTGCCCGATACTTTTTCTTATCATCAGATGTCATGGTTTTGCCTCCGTCTGTTCTTTCTCTTATCAAATGTGGGTTGATCTTTGACAATTCTTGGGGCCATGTGATCTCCACGGGTACCGACTCCAAATGCTCTTCACCATTATCACGCACAACCACTTTGAAACTTTTCGTAACGGCTTGCTCTTGAATTATGGGGTTCTTTTTGAAGCTAATTGTGATGTCAAAGTCCCTAGGGTTATTAGTATTGTTCCCAGTGTCTTCCACTACCGGATAATGAACATAAATATCGTCTATAAATTCCAAGTATTTGAGATCATCGGGACTTGCGTAGTCGGCAAATTCATCATTTTCGGCTAATATTATATACCAAAACTTGGGGATCCTTTTTAATATCGTCCTTCGTTTGGCGTACATGGGTTGAGCTAATTTGAGTCTATATACGTCAGCTTCTTTCTCCACTTTGTCCATTTCCTGCTCCCACGTCGACAAACTGCTCAAACTTGCCAGCAAAATTTTCGACTCATCCTTTGAGTCTAATGTCTCAACCTCGTCTTGCAGCATTGGATGTGACTCTGTTAGATGCAAATTGATGATGGATACGGTGTCGTCTGCTGCAAAAAAAAAAAGAAGTAAAAATTAGGAAAAAGAAAAAAACCAACCGTACATATGTGTGTGTGTAGTGTGTACTTTTGCTCAACATCATCTCCACACCAAAAAAGACAACGCTATCGTTCTACAGGCTTTGATCACACCAATTGGAACTGAAGCTATGTCAAATGAAAATGAACTTATCTCTAAAGTTTTACTCACAATTGATAAGTACAAAGGAAACTTGTCCACTTTTAAAAGAGCCATAGTTGATGGAGAATACACCAGTCTACAACAACCAAAGATATTTCTGAGACTACTTTTGTGGAAAGCGTGTTTGATTGTCGACTCATTTTCAATTTCAACATGGGCTACAAAGCTCAAAGATTCTAGGATGGTCTACCACCAACTATTCCTACGGGAAGATATGACTATACCGTGGATGGAGCTTGATCAAGATAACATATACTACCAACCACGAAGCATATCACGGAAGACCAGCTTGAAACACAGTACGTCTTTGCGGGGCCTGCGATCGATGAAAAGAAACTCATTGCGCGAGCGAGCTACTGATGATCCCCTCCTGTCATACACTACGACCTCAGAACCGACAACACAGAGAGCCGAAAACAATAATAATGACCACACAACCGACTTGGAATTATTGAATACTATAATACTCGACGTTGAGAGGCTATTTCCAGGTGAACCTTTTTACCATGGCAATGCCAATACGATACCCAGAAAAAGACAGTTGATTGAGGTTCTTTACATTTGGTGTAAGTGTAATCCTTCTGTTGGCTACAAACAAGGGTTTCATGAAATATTGGGCTTGATTCACATGAACTTGTATAAGGAGTCTATCACATTGAATCAAGATCAACTAAATTCAGCATGCTATTCTCATGAGGAGATGGTGATATTGAGTCTTTATAACATGCGCTTCCTATGCCATGACCTTTTCAATATTTTCAACAAGTTTGTTCTCACCAGCGGCATTGCAGCAAATTTATACGAGTCAGAAACTCAGTTAACTAAACTGATTGACTTATTCAATGTTTACCTTATGAAGGTTGACCAGTTTATACATTATACATTGACAACAAAGCTCGAGCTCGACTCGCAATTGTGGATTATTCGCTATCTCAGAATGCTCTTGATCCGGGAACTAGGTAATGACTTTGAAACAACAAGCTTACTATGGGATAAGTTGATTGCGACCGACTCCCCGTATCACCAGACACCAGGGATGACATATTTTCTTGAAATGCTCATATTTTTGGTAATACAGCTTCTAATTCAACAAAAGACAGAACTAGTGACCTCGGATTTTAGTGAATGCTTGTCATTGCTCTTGCATTATCCAATACCACAATTCACCACCCCCGTAAATAGGGATATGTTCATCCAAGTTTTGTACCGCGATGCAATGAAACTCTATGAGAGGAGAAACAACGACTTGAAATTATTTGAATACGGAAATAAATTGAACAAAACGTACAATCCAGGACTCAAAATTTCCTTGGGTTACAGAAACAGTGCCGACTTGAGTGACAGCAATAGTGCCCGATCTAGTATGGATTCACAAAGATCTGTAAAAGAACGCTTTCCGAATACAAGCGAACCCCCCAACAACAGTAGAGCTGATAACATGCGTTTTGAGAAAATGAGATTGGAGATGCGGTTGAAAAAGAAAGCAAAGCTGATGATTCACCAGTGATTAGCTGAGGTTATTGTTTAGTTGAGTGAGTATACTACTGCTGTTTAATGTAGCATTACGGCTATGTACGATATTAAATAGATGTAGACTAAACATACGTGCCAGTATTCGTTGTCAATGTCTTGAATATAATACATGACGTAAAAACACTTCTTTATTTTTTTTGACATTCGATTTGAAAAGTTTCAAATCCAAAAATGGAAAAACAAAGTCTTCAACTAAGGCAAAACTATTGGAAACCACATCAGAAGATTCCCCTACAGGATCAGACAGCAACAACAACACATCTCATCCCACTCCAGAGCATATAAATAAAATGGGTAAAAGAAAAACGTCGACGCGTAAGCCAGCCAAAAAGATTAAGCAAACATTAGATATCCAATTTACTTGTCTATTTTGTAATCATGAGAAGTCAGTGATATGTACATTGGATAAGAAGAACTTACTAGGAGAGTTGCACTGCAAGGTGTGTGGACAAAATTTCCAAACTTCCATCCATGGGTTGAGTCAACCAGTTGATGTATACAGCGACTGGATTGATGCTTGTGAAGATTTGGCTGAAGAAGCGGAAAAGAATGGCTATGAAGGTGAGGTTCGTGATGAGGATGACGTATATTCCGATGATGATGACGCCATCAACAACAATAACAACAACAACGGGGGCCGTGGAAGAGAAGTGGACCCCGTACTAGGCTCAGACGATGATAATGACGATTATTGATTGTCAAAGTTTTGTAGAAATTAAAATATCTAAAGTGTTTAAAAATTGTGTATTAATAATAAACTAAAAAAAGCTAGTATCCAAATGTTGCTGGGGAAGATAATTAGTTTGTCAAATTATTTAAAACTTGATCGTAGGTCTTGCTAAGTACTGAGTCTTTGCCTTCAGTTTCCTCACCAATATCCTTTGTCGTCGATGAAGCATCCTGTTTCTCTACGTTTTCTTTTGAAAGTTGCTTTAACTTCAGATGTAGCGCCTCAAAGCTCAACTCCTGATCGTCCGCTTCTCCTTCCTTGTTCTTGTGCTTGTGCTTGAAAACATTCTCCAACGAAATACCCTTCTTTCTCAAATCATCCAAATAAGTAATGACCTTATCCAAATCGGAAAGATTAACATTCATCAACTGCTTCCTCACGTCATCACCAGACATGTCAAATTCCCCTGGTTCTATTTTGTGATAGTCATTCAATCTTGACAATTTCAACATTGATCCTTCTTGTTTATCTAAATTGGCCAAATTAGTTTTAGAACTTGACTTAGATACCAATGGCGACTTGCTAGCAGGAACCGTTTGATTAGGTTTGAGATGGATTTCGCTTTCTGGGTGCTTCTCGCCATCATCGTGAAACTCGGAGCCACCCACTGTTGAGTTTTGCCCTTCTCCAGCTTTGACGAGATACATATTAGCCTTGGTTCCAAAATCATCGGTAAAGTTTGGATCAATCAATTGCAACCCTTTTTCAATACTGGAATCGATATAAATGAGACGAATAAGCGTCTCTTTACCATCAAGGTCCAACGCATTTTTCAACTGCAAGTTGAGCAATTCTTCAATTGACTCTTTTAAACTCTTTCTAATTTCATTGGCCCGACTAAAGAGTTGAATCACTTCGGGCGATGACAAGTTTAGTTTCTTTTGAGCCTTTAATTCTAAAATGTTATTCAATTGCTCCGTTAATGACGTGGGTTGTGTTACTGCTTCCTTCAAGGGCAGTTCTGCAGATGATGGCACCGCTTCTTGCTTTGAATCGTACAATAGTCTCTCCATATTTCTCATAGTGTATAAACCAATGCGCTCCTTAAACAATTCCGGAAATTCATCCGAGTTGCAATCCAAGTTTATCAAAGTTTTTGAATTTTTCGTCGCATTGACCAAGGCCGAAGCTGAAGTGGAATCAATATAGTTTCCAAGGATGGAAAAATATCCCATAGTTTTACAAAATGGTAAAACATTTGCAAGCTGAAGAATTGAAGGTTGGCTAAAGTTTTCATTTTCCAAATGCAATCTCGTCAACTTTGGGAAAAGTGGCAACTTCGAGGTAAAATATGTAATGGTTGCATGTTCGTTTGAATTTGCACCTACACTTGTAGCTGCTGAGTTTGCGCCGTGTGAATTCACCATAGTGCCAAATAATCTTTGATTGTTTGAAAAATCAAGATACTTCAAATTTGGTAGTTTCATCAATATATTTTCAAAAACTTCTTTAAAGGCATCGTTAAAGACGGAATTGGTTGAGTTCAAACTTAAAAATGATAGGGTCGCCTTCAGGATTATCATCTCATAGTCCGAACGCTTAGTAAAATCCAAAAAGATTTTCAAAATCTTGGTGCTGGAAAAGTCATTGTATCCCAAATCTAATCCTCTGGCAAAATCGCCAAATAACCAGGAATTAACAACAATGCTAATGTGTCGAGGTGTCAAATTGTTGAATGCCAATCCCAATCTTGATGTTTTCTTCAGAACAGCCAACTCCATCAAAGATTCAAATATCTCAACGTTTGTTATGCAGCATCCTGTCATAATCAACTCTTCAATACCACCTCTGGCAACCAACGTTGCAACAAATAATGACCAATCCATGTCGGAACGATTGTCCTTGTTGCATGTCATTCTTTTCAAATCTTCTTCATACTTTTTCGACTCAGCTTGGGTCTTCTTCTTCTTCTTTTTCAAGACATTAACCGCTAAAGCTGGGCATTGTGTAATATCTACCTTATTCAACACTGTGTTTCTCGATAAAAACCAACAAAACAAGGACCATCCTTCCTGGTTTATTGGGGTATTTCTTAAACTCAACTTTTCCAACTGTTTCTTGGCACTCATGGCAGACAAAAGAATCTTGAATTGCTCAACGGACAAATTGACCCCATCTAAGGAAACACAAACTATGGGAGCAATGCGTACAAAATCGGCAAATGTTTGCACCTCAATCATGGTTGGATGAGGATTACGAAGTTGCAAAACAGGAAGTGGCGCCATTGATCCTTCCGGAATCTGCTTTAATATTGCCGGGATTGGCAAAATTTCACGTAAATGGCAACATCGAGAATACATGGTGTCGAGTGCCATCTTCTTCACTGGTACGGTATAGTTCATTGGTTGGTGGTGAACCATAAACTTGTCAATGGCGATGTTCTTTGCGTGTTGGTCAATCGCTGGCTCATCTTCATCCTGAGATGACAATCCTTGTGACTCTTTATCCTCGTCATCTCCATCCAATTCATCATTGTTATTCTCTGCATCCTTTGGTGCATCCTTCGGTATATAACCCAATGCCCCCGTACCGCCAACGACAATTCCACCCCCCATTCCCATTTGAGATTTCTCAATAGCTTCCTTGTCTTCTTCTGTCAATGGATTTATTCTCACCTGTCCGTTGGGAAGAACATCAACATTTCCCTTTCGAGGTGTACGTGATGGGATTTGCTGAGGGGGGTCAATCAAAAATGTGGATGAGTGAAATGCTACTCTCTTTAATGGCTTTAGCCCTTTGAATGCAGGATTTAGCTCAATATCTTTTACGGGAGGTGGACTTGTCAGTAGTGATGAGGACGATGCTAGCGATGCCGATGATGTTGGTGGTTGTATAGCGGAAGAACTGTTTTCAGCTTTGACTGAACTTTTTCTCCTCAAAAAGTGGGAAAGGCGGGAAGATGTAGATTCATTTTGTGTGGAAGAAGAACCACCAGGCCTGTCATTATAGATTGTATCGTCATACCCATTGATCAATACGCTAGGTTTAGTAGATGTGTCACTATTGTTCGAGGCACTCGATGCCGTAGAGCCGCGACGGATGTCCCTTTGCTTATAAAACTTAATGTACTCTTCAAGTCTTGGATCTGGGTGTGAGGTAGTTGATGGAAGAGGGGCTGTTTTTGTCCTTTCCAATTTTGATGGCTCATAGCTAGATACCGATGGGGTTACATTCTTTGAAGGTGCATCTCTGGAGCTCGAAGTTGAGTCGTGAACTGGTTTTGATGTGTTTGGTTTGGTCATGTTGTAGTCTGCTTTAAACAAGCGTTCACCTGAATGATTTGGCGTCGATATCGGTGCAGGTTCATTGTTTTCTTTAGAGAATTTCCCCTTTAATTTGGAAAAAAAGCCCCCTGAGCTTCCTCCAGTACTACTTCTCCTTCTGGCTTTGGCAGGGTGAATGTCATTGTTACCAGGTACATGAGGTGTATACTTTGTATGAACATTTTCCTCCTGTACTGGTGAGATTGATGGTTTTGTTTTGGTAACAATTGCATCATTCGAATTGGAGATATCAGTATTCAAGTGTGAATTAACTGTGCGGGTAGGAGTCAGTGGTGATGTTGGCTCCGTTAATGTAGGTGTGTCTTGTTCTTTATCGTTATCTTTGTCTCTGTCATTTTTGTCGGCGCTGGCGATTAGTTTAGGTAATGGAATCGTGGGATCCATGGACGCATCCCTGAGGAACCAGTCCACATCGGCATTTTTGACCCCTTTGGTGTAGATATTGGCCTCTTCTTCCAATTTATCTCTAATGGTATCAACATCCATATTTTTACCAAGTTCTTTGGGTACTAAGGACCCTGGTAGTTCGTTGCTTCGTTGCTGAAGTTGCAGGTTATTTTTCTCTGCATTTCCCACCGTATCGTATGAAGTTAATTGGGGATGTGACTTACTAGATACCGGTGGTGACGACTCATTTGTATCCTTCTTGCTCATTATTTTGAGGTTATGAGGGTGGTGAATATTTTGATAGCAAATATGTAGTGATTACAATGGTCTTCCGAAAAAGAAAATAGTAGAAGAACGTTGGTGGGGACCGTGATTGTTGTGGTTGTAGATAGTGGTTGTCGTTGTTGTTACTGTTATTGTTGTCGATTTAAAAATTATTGTCACCCTATTATGGAAATTAAAATTAAATCTGCTAACCTAAAAAATAAAAAATAAAAATAAAAATTAATAAATAAAAAATGACTATGTGTAATAAATGATATATGATATGATATGATATGATGGTTAGGTAAAACTACTTCTTTGATCCTTGTACATGAATGATAGATACTAAAATGATGAAAGTGTTGGTGCTGTTTGTTAGTTCTAAAGTGTGAAAAAAGGAATAATATTGTACTATATCTGTAAAGGGTTAAGGCAAGTATAATTCCAGAAGAGATTGTGTCAAAGCAATCAACAAACTAAGAAATAGAATGATATTTAACTAATAATAATAATACAATCGAACTTTGACAGTTAGTACATGGTACATAGAGTAGCTTCGTAGCGTAGTAGTTCGTAAGTGGTGTCGTAAAATACAAAGACAGGACATGTCACTAAAAGAAAAAAGAAAAAAAGAAAAACATATGATAATAATTTTGACATATAACACAATAACTGACATAATAACTTCATTTCATTTTACCCGATAAAAAACACAAGAAAACAGGGTAATATACATAACAACAAATATAACGATAAGGCATAAAAAGCTCTATAGTCACGGATTAATTCACTTTACTTTGTAGGGTAAGAGAGATTGCATTAAATTTCAATTCCCATTAGAACCCTTTCTTTGTAATGAACAACGAAGAAGATGGGGGGAGAAATTATGTGGGGCGAGATTGGGGTGTGGTGATTATCGCTTTTTTTTGTTCACTATTTTTGAAAAGAAAATTGCATAGTTTTATCTTGTAACAAATCTTCTTCTTTCTTCTTCTCCTTCTTATCCTTCAGTAGGTATTGCTGTTGTTATTGTTGTTGTTTGCTTTAATGTTTTGTGGCTGTGACTTTGCGTGTTTGGTTTTCGTATGTTAAATGGTTCCGCGCAATTCTCTTAGACCTCAATTTTTTTATAACTTTTCTTCATAATTTCTTCATCATCGTGATCACCGTCACACAAATTACAGATTATTAGCTATCTCTCCCTCTCCCTCTCTATCTCTAATTAAATTATAGAACAACTGCAACTGCATCTACAACAGTTGGAAGGAACCAATTCTATTGACAAAACGCCAGCCTCCCCACATGAGAGGCGGGGTTGATGTAATAGTTCTCAAAAACTCATAACCATTACAGGTGTCATGCAACACTAAACAGAAATAACAATACTATTATATTTTACAATGGTTGACATCTCCCTTCAATCATACAAAGTTCATTAACAACAGCTCAACAGCATTAACATTGGTCTTTTTTTTTTTTTTTTTTGCAACAATTTCCTTCATAAAAGTTGCGCTCAGCTTAATAAAGAAGTTACTGTATCAAAAATAATAAAACAAACCAGTATACTATGTACTCTACTTATCTATTTTACCAAATGCCTACTCAGCTCTCGTAAACTCTGTCCAGAAGGAAAATAAACCCCCGCCTCTTCCTCAGAAGCATCAACACAACGCTTATTCTATAGCCTCACACACATTTGTACTTTATTCACTATCTTCTGACGACAACTCATCCAAAATTGGTGCAAGAATGTTACCACCAAGAGCCGTCACTTTATCTTTCAAATCCGATATTTCTCGTTTCTGCACCTCAATCAAAAGGTTGTAACTTTCACTTTCAACCGATAAATACTGAATTCTCAGGTTTAATGTTTCAATTACAAGATCCTGGAGATCGAAATTGACAGCTGGAAGGGGACCAACTTCCAACTCACCATCTTCATGAAAAGAGTCAAACATGAGTGATTCCTTTTTTGACCTCTCCTCCTTTTGATTCAAATTGGCCTCAAATGCAAATACAAATTCAAGGTGTTCACGAGCCAATATACCTAATGATAGATCTAAGGACTGGGGGTCTATGTCTCTCCCTTTCTCAATTGCGTTGCAAAATATCAGTGTATCAAACTCTATTTGATTTGGGTCCAACAGGTAGAACTCTTCATCATCATCATTATCATCATTATCATTATCATTATCATCTTTCTCTCGGTTAATGGGGCTTGTGGCAAAGATACTCTTTGCCCTAACAACGTGGGTACTTGTAAACCTATTGTCATCATCACTCTCCCTCTCTACGAAATCGCTTCCAATTGGGCCAAATTTGGATTGAAGAGAAAATTCATTTTCAAATGATACTGCTTCGGGCAATGTTGCCTCAGCTGATCGAGAGCTTGGTGCACTTGGAATAGTTTGAGTACTCATGTTGCTCCCCCAAAAGAATATTTGCTGTGCTGTATCTTTTTGGTTGCAAGGTTTGGTTGCAAGGTTTGGTTGCAAGAATTATTTTCGTTTTCCCTTTTTCTTGGTGATGCCAGTTCACACTTTTCAAATTTCTTTCTACCCCGAGAAATGCAGACGGAGCGAACCGTTTTAATCTAAGAGACAGGATAACCGGTAGGCATCTCTAGAACTAGTTTGTTGTTCTTATCTTGAAGGGAAAGGTTCAAATGTTCAGCAAGAGAAACAACAACAAAAAAAGAAAATGCAAAAAATACAAAAAAATAACGACAACTGCAGGACTCGAACCTGCGCGGGCAAAGCCCAAAAGATTTCTAATCTTTCTCCTTAACCACTCGGACAAATTGCCTTAACATGAAAATGTGATAGCTTAATTGATAGTCGCTCTGTAGTAAAATGGACCTAAGGTTTACTAAAATTTACTAAAATTTACTAAAATTGATACAAATTGACAACGCTGGATCATGTAAAGTGTGTATTGCCCATGTATAGGTGATATTGCAGTCGAATTGAAGCTTAATATCTAAATAGTTTGTCTCTAATTCTAAGTCCTACAATTTACTCTATTTATATTCTTCAATAGATCATGGTCTTTTTCAACACAAGAGTTGCATGGATATTCTGAAACATCAGTTCAAGCCACTAATTTATCGTTTGTGAGGTGAACATACCTTACAGCCATTGCTTAGTCGAAACAGAATAGTATCTTAAAAGTTACGAAGACTATGAAGTCGTGTTATCACTCTGAGATTATATCTGCTCATTTCGTGTTGGTACAACAAAGAAAACAAACAACAGCGACTCGTATCATTTACCAACCATTACTATTCTTTCTAACAACAAAGTACCAGAAAAAAACAAAAATAACACACTCTCAAATGAATCATTAGGCCGTCACACCTTGAGACGATGACCGTACAGCCCATCTATTAACACCAATGGGGTTGTATTACTCACAATTTAACTATCTTATAAATCAACCACAACCAGGTGTAACCAAAAGCTGCAAACGAAATGGCAATGTTTAAAATTACCCACAAGTCGGGATACTTTGCCGGTGGATCATAAGTGAAGTCAATGACATGATAAAATATCATGGCTGCATAGGTTGCTATAATTACCAAATTGTTTAAATTAAATTGTTTCCTTGATGGAATCACATGTTTAAACCCAATTAACCAATTAATTAATGCACCTGTAATAAAGTATTGCAACACCAAACCATCCTTTTTAAGCAAAGGGTATAAACTGAATGTACCCACGTTATTGATCCATTGAATAATTGTGATGTCACGAGGGTTAATCAAAAGAAGTAATAAAATAGGACATAATGGAAGGAGGATCGATTTCTCATGAACCTGATAAGAAAATAAATAGAACGACAATGCATTATAGGAAAATCCATACAACATTGCTGAGATACGTATCTTGTCGTTGTTACTGGTATTGTTGCCCGCATCGTCACTCTCTGCTGTTGTCGATGATGATGATGATAAAGGAGAAGAAGACAGTTTCCTCAATTTGTAAAAAATGTACATATTAATGGGAACAATGGATAATAATGTAGCTGCTAATGCTAGCTTTGAAAGTTGTGATGAAGAAACCAAGTCTCGATACTTGACCAACACATTAGTTGTGCACCAGAAATTGGCAACTTTATCTTCAAATAACCCACGATTGAACGGGAATACACGATGGATAATTTGTGGCAATGTTGTCGTCAAATGCGAAGCAAAAGGAAGCAAATATACCGATTGAGTGGCAACGACGGACAACCCCACCGATACCAAATCTTTGAAACCTCTCAACTGACTCAAAATGTAAAAAAAGATAAATACGGAATAATATAATCCCATTTGCTTAAAATTGATACAGCTAACAAACCATATGCTAGCCATCACCAAATGATTTTGCGCCAATTCAATGATTGCGTAAACAAAGCAACCCAACATTACAGAATTGTATTGAAAATGCCCATGATCAATCAAGATTAAATGTGGTTGCGTTAAAATAATCAAGGCAAAGATTATTTGATCCATCCGACTTAAATTGAATTTTTTTCCAAATATATTTGCTAGCAACAAAACCCCTGGAATATAACAAACCAATTCACTGATAATACTGGTGATCCTCATGAAAAACTTCAAGTCATTTGTTTCCATTCCTCGTGAGGAGTTCAATGTAAACCACGTTGGATTTATAACTGAGCCCAACTTACCCAATATCCAACTATGGTAAGCCGTTAATGGCGGATAATCCAACCCCCAATATTGAAGATCAAAGAAATACCAATCAGAAATTGGTAGATTGATTGTCAATTCCATCCAATGTCGCTGTGCTTCAAAGTCGCCATACATTGGTGACTTATTGTAGCCAGAATGGCCACCAAGACCCACTGCAGTTCGTAGTATAATTGAACTTAAAATGAGAATGTATCTAGCTGCCCATTGATCGGGTGCTTTTTCAAAATAATGCAATAAATCATAGACTGGTGAATTGACAAATATACTTTTCAATTGACTTGGAGCAGTAGCAGTAGTCGACTTAGTTTTGGAGGTTTTGGAGGTTTTGGAGGTTTTGGAGGTTTTGGAGGTTTTGGACTGCACATGAGGAGAATAGGTTGGCTTCTCTTGCTTGGCTGATTTCTTCTTCGCTTTGGCCATGGGTGTAGGGGTGCTCTCTCTCTCTCTCTCTCTGTCTGTTTGTCTCTCTTGTTGTTGTTGGTTGGTAGAATAATGTGTGAATTTTTTCTTCTCTCTGTTTATTGAGCATTTTTTTTTTTTTTTTGGATGTGAGTTTTCATTATTTCAGTTATTCTTGAGCATAATATGTTTGAAGTTCTATTTGACAAGTGAAAGTACCATTCGACATAATTGCAGTTGATGTGTTGGGATGCCTTTAATTCTAAGTTATTATGTAAAATTTATTATTATGGGAATCAAAGATTGCAATGTCGTGTGCAAACCAGTAGATAGTTGCTACGTTTGACAAAATGTCCTTCTTGCATCCAGAGACAGCCGTGCGAGAGGAAATGTCTCTCTGAATGAAGTGCATAGTAAGAACATATTCTTAAAAGTGGTTATGCCATTTTAGTGAAAAGTCAGATTGATCACGTGCGCATTTGAGTTTTTTCATTTTTTATCTTCCATTGTTTATTTTCTTTTGTAACAGACGCGTCTCTTCTTTCTTTCTTCTTCTTCTTCTTCTTTTCTTCTACACGTTATTATTATTATTATTATTATTATTATTGTTGTTGTTGACGTTGTTGTTGTTGTCAAATGTAAAAGAAAAACTCTTTTAATTTGGAAGTAGAAGTTGTAGGTTTTGGTAGGGAGAAGGTGTGGAAACAGGTACAAGTGCAATGTAAAGTCTTTGTTGAACAAGTGGCAGAAATAAAAGATATATCTATATCTCGTATAATTGAGGTATCATCTTTGGATAAAACTTATATATGATGTAATGTATGGCTTTATTCTATTTTTCAGTAACAGAGTACACGCCCTTTGATTATCATGCAATAGAAATCATACACAAACAGAGATATACATATACATATACATATACACATACACACAGAAATAGATGTAAATATAGATAGAGATATAGATATGTAGATACACAGATTTACCTGTTTTTAAGATTTCATATTATATTTGCATTAGAGACTAGAGTTATTCATTTCAAGCGGTACTACTATATATAGATTACATATCATAACTCTGTTAGTGCTGTTGTAAAATAATAATAACACATTAATACTTTATACCCTCTCTGCTTTTTGATAGAAAGAAAGAAAGAAAGTAAAAAGGCTTTGCTGTTTTAACTCTTTAAATTCTAATTTTATTTGTCTAATAAATAAAAAAATAAAGTATATATATAATAAATAAAGTAATAAATAAAGTATATATATTAATATATTAATATATCGCGTTACTTTTTTATTTTATTTTATTTTTTTATTTTTTTTTAATAAATAATAATCAAAAAAAAAAAAAACCCACACACACTAGTACTACAACTTCTAACTGAAGCTAAAAAAACACACACATCACACACTAACACACACACATACACACACACACACACACACGCAAAGTACAGGATATACCATGCAACAGCCCACTTATGACTATTCACAAGGTGTCAAACATGCTAGTGTTTCTTCAAGTGTTTATTCGCCAATTCAATCAGAGTTTGTACCTGAGTCAAATGCTATAATGGAAGAGGAAGAAGAGGAAGAAGAAGAAGAAGAAGAAGAAGAACAAGAAGAACAAGAAGAACAAGGAGTATATGAAGAATATGGAGATGAAGAAGAAAACAACAACAACAACTACAATAAGAATGGAGCAGGTAATGCCAATGCACAGCACCAACCAAGAAATAATATTGACGAAATTGAAGAAGCTAGTGCTACGTCAGATGAATCAGATGGTGAAGGGGACGATGATGATGTTGACAATGATGGCCGAAATGGGCTTGTTGCCGACAGGTCGACCCATACCATTCAAACATTCATGACTGCAAAAACACGATTGAATGACGGAAATATCCCACAATCTACTCCTACAGGTAGCAGGTCTAGTTTGACATCTTCAACGAATGAGAGCTTAACCGATTCAACAAGGATATTGGATACTGATGCAACTCCCATTCTCAAAAATTCAGCTGCAAATAATGACAAGACCCCCATTGTATCCCCAGACGGATTTATTCAAAATGGACCTGAGGAGTCAACGGTATCCCTTCCACAAAGGAAACTATCCAAAAAGTTCAAAAGACTTTCAATGAAATTACAAAATGCAACTGCATCGGAGAATTCATCACAATTTATGAGTAATTTTCAGCAAAATATTGAACGGGCAAATAATAATATGAATCAGAATAGAACCTCGAATAGCAACGCCAATGGTAACCCCAATAGAACAAGCACGTACTATACCAAGATCAATGAAAGGACAGGACAGGATATTCACGACAAACCAGAACTGTACCATCCTCATAAGCCTCACTACGATACCGATGATGCAGCAAGCTCAGTTTTAAAAAATGACCAACATTCGGAACTAAGTTCTGTAAGTAGTAGAGCATCGAGCACACGGAGTGGAAATTTTAGTAACCATGAAGATTTTGACGACAAGTCCTCTACATCGTCTACAAATGTCGCCTGGAACAATAATTCATCTAGCTACAATTTAAGAGGGTCATTGGTTGGTGGTGATGAAGAAGTACCTGTTCGAAGGGATTTAATTGAAACACCAACAAAAGACAAATTTAAACTATATAACCAATCGAATGGTAATTTATCTGAACAAGGCGGTCTTAATATAATTTATGACCAGAATAAAGAGGTGCCCTCAACAAAAGACTTGAATCCTAAAAGCAAGTCTGTTGATCTTACGGAAGAGGAGGACGACTTGTCGTCATTGTTTATTCGGGCATTGCATGCATTTGACTCATCAACTTTACAATCAGAATCGGATTCTTCTATATGTTTATCATTTGCCAAAGACGACTTGGCGTTTGTGCATACAATTGATGACTCAGGATGGGGTGAAGTCACTCTCATTGAATCGTTGGAAAGGGGGTGGATACCTATGAACTATTTTACAACAGCAGTTGCCGATTACGATTCCTCTGAAGACGATGACGATGACGATGACGATGACGATGAAGATGAAGATGAAGATGAAGATGGTCAAGAAAAGGAGGACAGTGAGGCCTTACCAAACAGCCACTACATTAAACCATTGTTTCATGCTTGTGGAAAGTTTTTGATGAATCCATTGAGTCACCGAAACAGAAAGGGTCGTTACACATTCTCCATTCGTGCTGTCAACTCAATCAGAGATGGTGTTCGGGTCCTTCTCCAACAAACAGACTGCTTGTCAAGGTCCAACGAAATTGTCACCAAGAGACAAGTTGTTCGTAAAGCTCGTAAAGCACTACTTGCTGATTGGTATAATCTAATGGTGAAAGCTAACGAGTACAAAGGTACATCAAACTTCAACAAGATTGAAATTCTAACGTTGATGGTGTATCAAGTGACAAGAAAGGCCACCGAGTTTTTGGAGGTTTGGTCAGTGGAAAGCAAACAAATTGTGAAGCGTGCCAATGAACGAAAATTGCATGACGATTTAAACAATTATCCTCTTTTGGAGGAGCCACCGTTGGCCAAACAACGAATTACTGAAATCAATGGAATTTTGTACTCGTATTTGGGGTTGATTATTGGAAGAATGGATTTGATTGAGCACAACCAGGTTGGGTGTGAAATCTTAGAGACTTTGGCTCATCAAATAATATTACTACTTCGAGAACTCTTGTTTATATCCAAGACGGGGTCGGACTTCAGCTTACAGAAGCCGGACGATTTGGACAATTCGCTAGACGGGTTATTATCATTGGTCAGTGACTTGGTTACAGGTGTTAAGAGCTTAGTGGTCAAGACTATAAATGAAGGTGATGTCAGTGGTGTTAACAATTTTGATGGAAATAGAGATTACTTTTACACACAAGAAGGGGGAAACTTGCTTCAAGTGGCAGCCAAGATGATTAAAGCTGTTGGATACACTGTTGCATCGGTAAGGAAATTACTTGATATAACAGGCGACTTTAAATTGAATTCAGAAAGATCTTACCCTGATTACTTGAAAATGCGGATTGAACCTCAAGATTTTGTCAGACGATGTATGAAGGGTGTTAAACTAGCACAAAGAAAGCCAACGGAAAACATTCTGACAGTAAGTAAACCTTATAAGGCCAACCGTTACTCGATGATCAGATCAGGTAAAAGTGGTGCGTTGGGAATCACCGAAAGTGGACAGAGCTTGTTGCAACACATTGAAGATTCTCCATTTACGGCTTCGGCTGCTGAATTTGAGCCATTTACATCTACATCGGGTGACTCGAGTAATGACAATGCCAACCTCAAGAATGAGCTCTTGACAGATAAGAACGGGTTCTTTCTTGGTGGATCGTTCAAGGGGTTGGTTTACACGCTTACAAACGACGAGTCGCCACCAGAATACTTCTACGTGTCTACCTTTTTCATTTGCTTTAGAAACTTTGCCAACGGTATGGATTTGGTTGAAGAGTTGATTGCTAGATTTGAAGCCAATCGTGGACAAGTTGACGATATAAATATTGCATTGAGGTTGAAAAATCGAAGGAAATTGATCGTTAGAATGTTTCGGTTGTGGATGGAAAGCTATTGGAATCATGATTCCGATTATAGTCTTCTCACAACCATGGTTAATTTCTTCAATGAAGGTGTCAGTCCAATCTTGCCTCTTGATGCACTTGAGTTGATTGAAATCGGGGCCAGGCTATCAACAAATCCTTTAATTGAAAATAGGGCCAGGCGCAACAAACCAAATAAGCAGTTGGTGGAAAGAAATATTGTATTGAAATCTAAACTGGGCCAACTGGATTATCGTTCTTTAAGTGATGGCGACTACGACTTGTCAAGAGTTAACTCGAATGCATCCAATAGTCAGTCGTTGCCATTACCATCAGGTGCCACACCGTCAGTTTCATTGCTTACATCAGCTCAGACAACCACAATTGAAAAGATTATCATGACTTACAGGGCCATTTTGAAGGATAGCTGGTGTTCGTCAAAGTATTTGGCCACATTCAAGCCATTGGACTTGAGTAATATGTTGTCGCATTTTGCCATTGTTTGTGAACAAAACTGGGTCTTGTCCAATTACAGACCCAATCTCTTGGACTTTAATGCTTTGGAAGTTGCCAAACAATTGACGTTGATCGAATCCAGCATCTTTTGTTCCATTAAACCCGACGAATTATTAAACCAAAACTTTACCAACAAACGAGCTCATTTGAGGTTATCCACTAATGTCAGATTATCACTTTTATTCACCAACTGTTTATCCAATTACGTTTTGGAGTCAATATTGCAGCCAAATATATCAACAAAGGAAAGAGTCAATATACTCAAAGTGTGGCTTAAAGTTTCAATTTCGTCGTTGTATTTACGAAATTTTAACAGTTTAGCAGCAATCATCACTGCTCTACAGAGTCACTTGATAACCAGGATTGATGATTTATGGACCACTTTGCTGCAGAAATACGTCGATTTGTATCAATACTTGTCTTCCATCATTAGTATGGAGAAAAACTATTCAACTTATAGAAACAAGATTCGCAATTTATTATCATCAGGTGAAACATTGCCTATAGTACCATACATCAATCTATTCATATCGGATATAACCACAACAACTGAAGGAATCCCGAAATATGTCCCATCCCAAAATTTCTTGTCAAGCAAAGTAATCAATTTCCAAAAATATTCCAAGCTTGTGAAGATAATAGCTGATTTACAATCATTACAAAATCCATACAGCCTTGAGAACCAAACTGGTAGCCTGGCGGAATATAGGGTACAAGAATTGCCGTCGTTACAGGAGTTGATTTTGTTGGAGCTCTGGAAGGTGAATATTTTGCACAAAGTTGATGATGATCGGGGGTGGAAATTGAGTTGCGATGTATTGAAAAAATAGAGTAGAATAAAATAGAGTAGAATAAAATAGAAGGCAAATAGGTGCAGATTAGTGTGAAATAATTTCGATGGTATATTCAAGACTGGTTTGCTAAGCTCCTTTAGTGTTGGTCACATCAGCTAGCTCAGACAGCACACTTTTTGTCTCTATAGAGCTAAAAACGCGGCAATATCAATACTAGTACTCTTTGACTCCTTTACTTTTTACAATCGAAACAAACGTTATCTCTGATTAAAGAATGTTTTCTGTAATGCCTCAAGAAGAAACGAGGGAATTAAATTGACTCCACACCTGTTTCAAAAATCGAGCTAACTGTTGATGCTGATTCAATTCCAATTGCGCATTATCCAAAAACTCTCGCGATAATTGAGGTAGAGTCTCTCCAACAAGAAAACTTTCACCACCAACATCAACAACAACGGAAAACTTGCGATCAGGGTCATTGGGATCAAGATTGAAGAAAATAAATTGGATTTGATTATTATCCAAAGGTTCAAGTCTCATACCCGAAAACAATTCATATTTCAATGCTTCACCAATACATGATTGCAATCTTTGTTCAAAAGCGTCATCCGACGACCTTAGCTCATCTCGATTCCTATCGATCAATTCATTCAATCGTTTGATCTCTGCTTCCAACTGTTTCTTCGTTTCAAGAAACTCATTCTTGTCTTGTTCCAACTCCCTTACTTTTGTCCCTTGTATTTCTAAATTCGCCATTGCCTCATCTAGCCGTTGCTTTACTGACAATTCTTTTGCAGACAACGAACTGACTTTTTTCCGTGAGTCATCATCAATACTCTTAAGTTCGCTGGTTATTTGTTTATGTATATGTGCTTCATGGGAAAATTCTGCCTGTTTATTTGTAAGTTTCTGATCTATATCCTCCAAAAATTTGTCCATTTCCACCTTTAGAGCATCGAATTCGGTGAGTTTTCTCTTGAATCCGTCGTAAGGTAATTGAGTTCGGCTATCATTCATGTTGGGCATGTGTTGTTGTAGATTTAATGCTTGTGAGTGGTTTTGAGTTGTGAAGAGGGATTGGTGTGACTGGTCAGTGGCAATGTTGGTCAGTAAATGGGGCACTTTAATATATGTTTCGCACGGTTTATGAGGAAACCTGTGTATCCTAAATTGGTAAGAGCTGGAAATAGATTATATGGGTTAGAAGTTTTGTTTTGGTTTTGTTTTGGAAAGTTTTTGTCGCGCACGCGTATACACAAAGACACCACACTCTATAAGCTTTAACCATTCTGTACTAATCAGTCCATTCTTCACATTGATATGGCCTAAACTATAACTGACGAATACTATTCTTCCAAATTATATCAACTGAATGAAGGGAATTGTAGCAAAAGTTTACAAAGAGCATCATTCTTTACCACATGTATGAAAAAAANGGTTTTTCCGTCCCCCCCCCCCCAAAAAAAAAAAACAAAGCTAAAACTCCAACCGACGCTATACCTATCGACCACCATGATCCTCTGTATGCCTCTTTCTCATCAACCGTTTGATGTTTTCAAATGCTTGATCAGTAGTAATATTCGACTCGTAACTGAAGTTTTTGCGTAAATAATTCTCCTGCTGTTGCTTATAAGATGGGTCTCTCAATATACTCCTCAAATGATCATCAAACTCCGCAGCAGGGACTAATTTGCCTGTAACTGGGCATTTTATCTTTTCCGTTGAAGCTGATTGTGATACTGACTTACCCGACGAATTTGCTGCTGGGGATGAGCGTTTCAATCTCGTTGTTCCAGCAGCCTTAATTTTCATTCCCTTGAAGCGGGCAGGAGGCACGTCGGACTCATTCACAGCACTATTGGATGGAGCTTCCTCATTATGCAGTTCATCGTCTTCATTATCTAATGATATTGGCTTTGATTTAGGAAGTTTGATATCTTGGCTCTTCGCCGTAAGTGATCGCTTTGACAAGTCTCCCCGGACCAACGGAGTGCTCAACTCTTTTACCACATCAATTTCATCAAACTTTACATACTCAACTAGGGTGAAGTCCTGCCAATCAACCAGGGCAAAGTGAATTCTTTTTTGCAACAAACGCTCATCATGCATTTTCTTACGCACCTTATTCTGCTTTCTATATTGAGCTCTGTCATACGCTTTGGTCAACACAGCAAACTCATTATTCTCAAACTCTTTCAAGTTGCTTGATAGTTCTTTCTTTATGAGATTTGATTCGCCTAAAAAGGCATCCAAGACAGCTTTATATTGGGTAACATATTCTTGAAATAGAGCATGCAATGAGTGTTGTGGTTTAAGGAAGTCAAATTGAGCATGGTACCCCAAATCCTGCTCATGTTTTAGAAGTCCTTTAATCTTATCTTCACCGTTTACGGCGATATATATAGCTGTTTTCTTGATGATTTGTAAATCTCGCTCACATATATTGTCAGGAAAATGTTCGATCAAGAATTCTAAATCTCTTGGTTTGGGTATAACTATCGTATCAATATTAGTAACTTCACTATCTCCTTCCTCTGTAGCGGTTGTATTCAGACCCGAGTAGGAATTCAAGGCCCACAAGTAGTAAGCATGAAACTCATTATCTGGTTTTATAAAGTCAAATTGGTTGCCTTTGTTGTTCTTTAACAACCTATCTTCAAAGGATTTGCCATTCTTCTTGATGTAAACCACAGACTTTTCAATAACATCTTTGATGTCTTTTGGAGGAACCGGTAAATTTTCAGGAACAGATGTTGGCATTGTGTGGTCGGTTGAATACAGAGCGAGTGTGTGCTAAAAAGTAGTTTCTAGTTTCGCACAAAGATTTTCGATAAGATGATCTTCGAAGCTTTGCAAAGAGGACAAGGAGTAAACTTACTGCTAATTAAACAAAGTACACTATTCCATGTACAACACTACCTGAGGATAGAAGAGGTGGATCTATCAATCTCTGCTAAACTTTACTTCATGCTTAAGTTCGTTACCTTCACTCTCATTCTAGGTTCCTTTGTCATGTCGCGTTCCTCTCGACAGTTAACAATCACCCTTTTGTGATACGAAATGACATTTGCTTCAATCCAAAACATTACCGGTTTTCATAGCGTTTCTACTTAGCACCACACGTAATCATGAACACCATCGGAACAGAAACGGGCAAGAAACAAAAGGATTCTATCAGGCTATTAACGTTCAACACCTGGGGCTTAAAATTAGTTTCAAAACATAGAAAGCAAAGGTTACAGGCAATCGCCAATAGGCTAGGTGACCCACATGATGCAAGCGATGATTATGACATTGTTGCCTTGCAAGAAGTTTGGTGCGAAGAAGATTGGCAGTACTTGGATCATGTTTGTCGAGCAAAATACCCGTTTAGACGATTCTTCAAATCTGGTATAATCAGTGGTCCTGGGTTATGTGTTTTATCAAAAATTCCCATCACAGAAACATTTTTGTATCGCTTCCCCATCAATGGACGTTCATCAGCATTTTTCCGAGGCGACTGGTATGTTGGTAAAAGTATCGCTGTTACTATGTTCCAACCGCATCAAGAGGGAAGCTTGCCTGTGGCTTTGCTAAATAGCCATATGCATGCACCTTATGGTCACGGCGACGCAAGCTACTCCACCCATAGGGCATGCCAAGCGTGGGATTTTGCCAAGATAGTGAGGATGTTGAAAAAAGCAGGGTATGCTGTGATTCAAGTTGGTGATTTGAATTCAAAGCCAGAGTCGTTACCGTACAAAATCTTTACAATTGAAGGCGGGTTAAGTGACTCATGGAATGTATTGCATAGAGAGAGGGTTACAACAAATCAGCAGTTGAGCCAATTGACTCCAGAGGAGCAGATTTCTGTTGCAGGGGTGACATGCAACTCGCGATTGAACACTTGGAGAAAAGAACGGCCCATGACCGACGCTTGTCGATTGGACTATGCATTAATAGATGCGAATTGTATTACGCCCGTGGATGCAAAAGTAAAATTCACGGAAACTTTACCGCCGCCGTTACGGTGCTCATTCTCCGACCATTTTGCGTACTTTGCCGAGTTTATTGTCAAACCAAGAGAGCTGTCTCCTAGTAAACTTGAGGAGGAACACTCATTAACAGATAGGGTAACCGTTTATAAAGAGCTACTTGCTGAAATTAGCCACTACAGGAAACACACTATCCCAGTTCAAGCAATGTGGAGAAAACTACACTTTATGCTGTCTGTCCTAGTAGTAATTGGAATGCATGTTGCTATTGTGTTTGTTTCCAACGTTGCCGGTTGGATATCTGTCTTGTTTCTATTTGCCACATGTGCTATTCTAATAACTGGTTTGTTGAATGGGTTGATTTGGTCATTGGGTGTCAGATCCGAGCTGAGGGCACTTCAAGAGGTGCAAATGGAAGTAGAAGACACATATGTTTATATCACAGATCATTTACAGAAAAATTAAGTCAGAATTACGGATATATAGGGGATTAGAAGGTAGTTGTCGTCTATTGACTTCCACTAATTAGAAATCGTATTAAATTTTGGCTTTGCTATATCCCATGGCCCTTGTAGTTCATTCTTATACCTCTGCAAGGACAAAAAGTATGCCGGCATCAAAAACATCACAATAAGGACCGACAGGAGCCAATAAAGTAAAAATTTGTAATTGAGGAGTTGGTAAATCCAATAATTGACTAAACTGAAGGTGGACAAAGCTATAACATAGTGCAAATACTTGAGTTTCTTGCTTTGACGTAGGTTTGCGTCATATGATGGTAACAAAATGTTAACTTGGATTGAAAAAAGCATAAAGACAAACACTTGTGACGTTGAATTCAAGCGTGACGCCAACACAATAGCATTGCTGACTGAAATATTGGTGGAGATGGTCGGCTTGTATACCTTTGTCGAGGAATATTCATAAAACATCGAGTTGAATATCGATAGAATCAGCGAAATGGCCCAGATAGAGTCTGATGAAGTAGACTTTGTCAATGATTTGAGTATTGGAGAAACAATCAACATCATGAACGAGATTAAAACAAACGACTTCAAGTTCAAGTTGGATCTAGAAATTGAGGATAGCAGATGGTGGTACCGGAAAAGGCCATATATTATTACACATATAATTGTGCTTAGGGCCGTCGGTTTAACGGGATCCCAATTTTTTGAGTATATGCCAATGAACATCAAGTTCACGAGTAAGATGCATGATATGTAAAACACAATCAATATAAAGTCTTCTACTAACTGAAAGTAGGAATATTTTGCCACAGTTGTGTTTCTTTTTAATTGAGACAAAAAGGATACATCAGTGTAATTATCAGGATAAGGCTGTTTTAAGTAAAGTAGTTTCTTCCAAGTGGACTTCTTTTCTGGATGGTGTGTTGAAGCATGTTGTGGGGTGGGTGAGGTGCATGCTGACTCCACATAGTCGTCGGATTCTAATACCAGACCCGTATCGTTATCATTTATGGAAAAGTTGCGACGTTTTGTTGGCAGTTCTGTCATGCATTGATTTGATTTGTTGGTATATTCTTGTAGTAATCTTGGCTTTACTCAAAAGAGGAAGAAAAAAAAACACACACACACACACACACATACACAGCACTAATATATAACAATAACAGCTGTGTCTGTGGCTTCATTATCGTCACTTCTCCTAACTACACTTGGCAAAGATGAGTGCCAATCTTAATCCAACAAAATCCAATAATTTGACTGTACCAAAGTCGCAGCATTCATACTCCACATCGCTATCTTCCAACATTTCACCCCAGTACTTTTTTGCAAATAACAACATATCAAAGACAAGTTCTAGATCAGGAGCAGCAAGCACATATAGACTATCTAGAAGTAATACCAACAACACGTCAGATGCGTATCTTACCAACCACGACAACCAAAGTATTCAAAGTATAGATAAGATTCCCAGTGCCAAACCAAGTGTAACTTATCTGGACAAACTATGGACCCAAATTGATGTTTTGGATGATGTTAAACGAATGGCCAAAGAGTCCAAGGTAAAAGATACACTCTTTAATGAAAAATATATTCAAAAGTTGGCAAAGTTGAAGGAACTGCAGGATCAGTTGCTACAAACCATGTCGGCCTTACAAACTGAGGATATGAATACCAACGAAGCACAGAAACAAGAGTTGTACCAACTAAAGACGGCCGAAATAGCAAATAAGACCGAAGCAGTTGGTGAAGATGCAACCAAGTCGTTAAAGAGTAAAAATTCCACCCACGAGCTGAGTGTACCCGAGACCGAACAAAGTAATGCTGGAGAAGTAAGTCCTCTGTCAGACAGTGTATTGGAATTGACTGCGGAAGAACAGGAAAAAGTGGATAAGTTCTTTGCCATCAATGATGAAGCTTATGATTCCGAAGATGAAGCAGACTTTCAAAGTCAAACAATTTACAATAAGGATGTGTTCGATGAAATCAATAGATATGTTCAACAAGTTAAGCAAGATTTGCGTGGATTGGGGGATGCAATGAAGGAATGCAGTAGTAATAGAGACACCACCTGATTGAGAAATTAGAAGGCAAACGAAGAAGCCATCGCCAGAGAAAGGAAAGCCACGAGTAACAAGGGTGAATGCATTTCAATATGAGGAAAAAAGAAAAACCAACAGCAATAATATGTGAAGGCGCAAAGCTGACATGATTCCTTTTTAGTTCATGTTACCAAAGTGGTTGTGCATTTTCTTTTGCTTGATTTCGTTCTGAAAGGGGATACACTGAAGGGTTGTGCTGAAACGTTTCGTGTGTGCTGAAGGATTATGGCTTAATATGTACACAAAAGCTATTTTTCCCCAACCAATGGAAGAGTTGGTGCGGGGCGATCATTGAAAAATTAATTCGAACACCATTGTTGTGCTTTGAAAGTAACGTCAGACAAGCTACAATGTACAAACCCTTGAGGTTGCCATAATTATTGCAATGTTTGTTGACTCTGGCAAATGATTACTTCGGAAAGTCATTGCTGGGTATGCAAGATAAAGAGTCACACATCACGTTATTTTAATTTGGAAAACAAGCTATTGGAAAAGCCGGTGCATATGTTGGAGCTAATTTAAACACACAATTTATGCAATGTAGAATAAACTTTTGTTTTGTAGAAAATTAAATTGATCCGAGAATCTCACACAAAAGAACATACATACATACACATACAAATAATTTCTTTTTTTATTTTTATTTTTGCGTCGCGTGGGGGATATTTTTCCGTAAGGTTTAGATCACCACTGAATAAAGATATACACTGATGGAGTAGTAGGAGTTGGCTATACTAGCAACGTAACTAAACAATAAAGTACGTTGAAGAAGTGAGCCATGAAATGATGTAACATTGGAACAACAATACGTTAAAGTAAAAAGAAACCTACACGAGTAAAATGTTGAACAAAAGTTGACTAGGTAATTGGTGATCAGATGTTATGTTTAAGTGAGTGAGTGAGTGTACTTTTGCTAAATTCGGACTTGAGTTGTTCCGGCTTTGTTGAATAGTTGAACAGTTCAACAGAAAAAAAAAATATTTTTCAAACCAAACAAAAGATATAAAGATATAAATATATAAAATATAACGATACTTTTGTTCAATTGCATAAATTTCAGTCTTTAGCACTTGATCTTTTTATTTAAGCACTTCCTTAGTATCACTTCCTATTTTTGTTGGTACTTTCTTTAGTGATTAACCTACTGCATCAAAATACTTTAAAGCAACTCAGAGCAACTATGGTTCATTTAGGCCCAAAACCACCTCAACATAGAAAAGGTACATTTACCGATGTGTCACCAGAATTATTACTGGTGGTGAAGGAATTGCAAGAGGAGTTCTCAGTAAGTGGTGAAACTTTGAGAAAAATCGTTGATCATTTCGTCACTGAATTAGATAAAGGGTTATCTAAAAAAGGTGGAAATATCCCCATGATCCCTGGCTGGGTCATGGATTACCCTACTGGTAAAGAAACGGGTGAGTACATTGCCATTGATTTGGGTGGAACCAACTTGAGAGTAGTTTTGGTTAAACTAGGTGGAAACAGAGATTTCGACACCACTCAATCCAAGTTCCCCTTGCCAGAGCATATGAGAACGGCCAAGAGTGAAGAGCTTTGGTCTTTTATCGCCGATTGCTTGAAGAAGTTTGTTGACGATCTTTATCCAGAAGGTTGCAAGGAACCATTGCCTTTGGGTTTCACATTCAGTTACCCTGCAAGTCAAAATAGCATCACCGAAGCGGTGTTGCAAAGATGGACCAAGGGATGGGCAATCGAAGGAGTCGAAGGTAAAGACGTTGCACCCATGTTGCAGGATGCTATCGAGAAAGTTGGTGTTCCAATTGAAGTAGTGGCAATTATCAATGATACCGTGGGAACATTAGTTGCATCAAGATATACCGACCCAGAAGCCAAGTTGGGTTTGATTTTTGGAACTGGTGTCAATGGAGCTTACTACGATGTTGTCAAGGATATTCCAAAATTGGAAGGCAAGACTGCCGATGACGTGGACCCAGAATCACCCATGGCCATCAATTGTGAATATGGTTCTTTTGATAACGAATTAGTTGTCCTCCCAAGAACCAAGTATGATGTCATAGTAGATAAAGAATCTCCAAGACCAGGGCAACAATCATTTGAGAAAATGAACTCAGGTTATTACCTTGGTGAACTTTTAAGATTGGTATTGTTGGATTTGGCTGAAGAAAGAAAACTTATCTTCAACGGACAGAAATTGGACAAATTGGATGAATCTTACATCTTGGACACTTCTTTCCCAGCTAAAATTGAAGAAGATCCATTTGAAAATTTAGAGGACGTTGCCGAATTATTCCAAGCTCAATTGGGTATTCAAACCACTGTGCCTGAACGTAAAGTGATTCGTCGTATTGCCGAATTGATTGGTGAAAGATCAGCAAGATTGTCTGTTTGTGGAATTGCCGCAATCTGCAAGAAGAGAGGTTACAAGACTGCTCATTGTGCTGCTGATGGATCTGTCTACCAGAAATATCCTGAATTTCAAACCAGAGCAGCCAAGAGTTTAAGAGACATTTTCGAATGGCCAGATGATTTGAAAGAGGATCCAATTGTTATAGTTCCAGCAGAAGATGGAAGTGGTGTTGGTGCTGCCATAATTGCTGCTTTAACTGAAAGGAGATTAAAGGATGGAAAATCTGTTGGTGTAAAAAAGGCATAGTGATGTGCAAGGGAAGAGTTTGTAAATAATAGTATGACAGAAATGACTTACTGTTGCATTAGAATTAGACATTTTAGTTGGTTGAGGACACTTGTAGTAGATCTGTTTTCGCTTGGTTTGTAATGGGAAGCGTTCTTGAAATCGTGAATTGTATATTCAGATTTCCTTTGACTACATTACATACAAAGCATAAGCCATGGCAAAATTGGGATGCTTCCTGTTGTATGTCATTGAGAATCCATTTTTGTAATGAAATACAGTCAAGCAGTTAGAACTTTCACTATTACTTTCTGTAAATACCTCCTTCCACATTTATATTGTCTGCAATTGTTTACAACTAAACTAAATCTTGTTAATCTCCTTAAACCTTTCCAACAACTCATTAATTCTCTTTTTCCGCAACGACAATTCACCTTTAATTTCCGAACCACTTACGCCTCCACCACCGGGGAACCCACAAATGGTTAACCGGTTTCTCAATGTCATGAAAGTGCTTGATTGTGGCAATATCATCAATATTCCGTATAATGTCTTGTATAGAAATGGATAATGTTCCGGCTCAAGGAGTTGTAATCGCAACTTGATAAAAATTGGCAGCTCGAGCAATTGGATAAGTACATCCAACTGAGTTAGCAATTGTGACGTAACTTCCAATTCTGATAAGTTTTTAATCAAAAGATATGACAATTCATAATTCGATGTTAATAAACAGAGCGCAATGGCACTAGGCGCATTGAAGCACCAACTTCGAAATAATGTAGCAAACAATGACCAGTCGTCTACTGACGTTATATCTAGATTCTTTAACTTTTTCCTAAAGGGCAACAATTCACTTGATGTGAGGAGGATATTGTTTAAAGTGACAATCAACATGTTGGCAAACTCCAATTTGGACTGGTCTTGCAAATCTGCAACATCATGTTGAGATTGTCTCTCATTCTGATGGGGCTGGTGGCTGTGTTGTCCCAGTTGAGTACTTTGATTCAGGGGCTTATGCTGTGGCAGCTGTTGCTGGTATTGTTGTTGCAACACTTCCGACAAGGTTGTGAAAATAATCTCCGAATCCAAATAGAGACATAATTTTCTAATGATAAAGTCAACTTTGATTGATTTCTCATATCCTTCCAACTGAATCAATTTTAACAACTTGATGATAAAATTCTTAAAAAATTCGGGGTTTGCCTCTGAGATTTTTGCCAACAATTGCAATACCTTGAGAATAACTTCATTACTGGAATCGTACTTGAGCAAATTTGTCAATTCAAACTCGTCAGTTGATTGGAAAAATTGCAAAAAACCACTAGGGTTATGCTCATAAATAAAAATAAGCCATTCCAACGAGGTAATCCGTGATAACTCATTCTCACTTGCTGATGTAGTCGTTATGTTTGTTGGTGTTGGTGTTGATGTAGTTGCAATTGCCAACGAAGAAGCAGGTTTCAAATACTCATTGATGATAGCTGATAATGTTTGTGGCAACTGGGCAGAATTAAAGTTGGCCAAACTCTCCTCGTTAACTCCAAATAGTTCAAATGTCGAAACGTTGTTGTAAACTTTACTTAAAAATGCCTGCAAACTAAAACTGAAATCAATCAACTGGTTTTGTAACTCAACATCTTGAGTCTGATCAGTCACCGTGATGTTTTTCAAAGTTACTGAAATACAATCAGGCATCGCATTAAGTACATCTTGTGGCGACACGTCAACCAACGCCTGCAACCATTTTAAGGCGATAAATTGTACATCGCAATAAGTTTCTCGTGAATCAACAAGCAAATCATTTTTAGCCACCAATTCCTGTTGTTCAAATTCACGTAAAAACAAAACCAAAATGGAAATGATCTTCAGATAATCAATATAGATATCCTGCCCAAACGTCACTTCATCCAGTTCTTGATCGGCTTCCCCTTCCAAACCTTGTCCATCAAGGTTTAATTCTGTAGAGTCCTGAATTGACAAGTTTCCGAGTTTCTTATGAATGATTGTAGTATCGTATGACTTGATACTTGCAGTCTCATCCTGACTTTCCACTCCAACCCTCTTCTCCTTGTCTCCTTTAGTCGCTTCTCCCCTCTTTTCATTAATCTCATCCACTTTACCATTCTTGTCCCCATTTTTCGACTTTTCAAACTCACTCAACTTCCTCTTCACTTCATCCTCTGCACCCTTCTCCTTCTCCTTCTCCTTCTCCTTCCCCTCTTTATCTTCCTCTTCCTTCTCCTGTTTCTCTTTCTGCTCCTTTTCAATCTCTTGTTCTTTTAACTTGCGCTTATATTCAATCCTGACCCTCGATATCCCCTTGATTTCCTTCAAAAACACATTCAACAAGTTTTGCGTCTCCAATTTAATATCACTTGGTGCATTGTTCAAAATAAATCTCACCAAAGGTTTGAAAAAACTCGGCAAGAAACTGATCAACTCTAGATTAGGTATATCATCAAATAGCTCAAGCCAGCTAAGTAAAAACTTCTTGGTGAAGGGATCATTGGTGTACATCCTTTCTAATAAAGTTGGCATGAATTTGGGCAACAGGAATGCTTTAGTTGGATCTTGCGGATTGGTCAGTTGAACAATTTCATCACTCCCTTGAGATTTCAACAAGTCCTCATACGTCAACTCCCCTTGATCTTGTTGTCCTTGCAACTTCTGGGCATCTTTCTGTTGCTGTAATATGCTCACATAGCTTGTTGCTTTGGCACTAATAATGTCCTTCACCAACCTATCCAAAATATCCGCCGCATTCTTGACACTGCTCTCGGCATCACTCACCAATATACACAACACATCGAAAATTTCATTAATGTAGAGTAAGATCTCACCTCTGGCGATCTTGGCAACATTGTACAACGATTCACACGCATAATATCGTACTCGAGCATCAGTGTCACGAAACGTGGCAAATATAGGTCGAATGATGTCGTCAAGAAAATATGCAATCGCAAATGAACCAACGGCTACCGAAACACTTCCTAACGCAGTAATGGCACCCATTTTTGCAGAGTTTGACCCACTGGTCATGGTCATTGTGGTTAACTCATGAATGATTCGATATATTGTTTGACTATCATTACGACTCAACGCTGATTTGGTTATTGATTCAATTTGAAATGCCGTTGCTTTCCGTTTCTCGTAGATATGGTTCGATAGGTCTTTGGTGATTGACTGATCTAGGATCGGTTGTTGAGTTGAGGGGGGCATTGGAGGTGGTGAATTAGTTTGCGGTGAGTTGCTGGATGGACAAGTTTGTTACCAGTAACCAAAAGGGGGAGACGACTTTTTCTCCATGAGACAGAGAGTTTTTTGATACGCGTGAATCCGAGAGAGAAACATACAAATTACATGCATACATACACAGTTTAAACACTTTTTCTTGGTTTAGCAATAAAAGCTATTTCCTCACATTAAGCTTCCTCTTTTTGGTCGCGGGAATATTCGATAAATACCCTTCAACTACCGAATCAGATGGCGAAGGTATATAAGTGGATCTATCGGGTAGAATTTTCTGTAAATCAGCAAGATCCGTCTCGGAGAATTCATCAGGTGATGGCAATTGTACATGAAAGTTGATATACAAGTTTCCCCGGTTGTAGCTATTAGTGGCTGTCATCATATTTTGGACATAATTTGGATCTTGCTTATCGTTAGGTTGAACAATTTTGCCTTCGTTGTATAATATATCAGTGTTTATCGGCATACCCAATCCATGAATCAACTTAGGCTCATTAGTGTTGATGGTACCCACAACTTCCCCTTCTTGTACTTTTTCACTGTTGATTGATTGATGTCCATGACAATTTATATAAATTTTGAGAAATTGACCCATGCGTAAGAAATTAGGCACCATTATCTCGCCCCCAAGCAATGCCGTTTTCAAATCCAATTCATAATTCATAAACAAGTCATTGTTTTTGCGCACTAAGTAAGAATGAGGCTTTTGCCGAAGTTCTATGATTAAGTCGCCTGGTATGACGTTTTTACCCTCGTCTGCCTCTCCTTTGATTATAATGACATCACCCGATCTAGCTCCAGGTGGTACATAAACTTGAATTATTTTCGTGGCTTCAATAAAACCTCCATCACAATAAGTACATTTATCTTCTGGTTTCATACATGTACCTGTGCCTTGACAAGATGCACATGAACTGGTTTGCTTGTATTGAGCAAATTGGTTATATTGGATAACCATGACTCTTCCCAGACCGAGGCACGTTTTACAAGTTTTGACATTTAAACCTCCAGATCCATCGCAATGTAGACACTTGGTGACTTTGGGAAGTGATAATTTGATTACTTTTCCATACATTAGGTCATGTAGCGTTACTTCACATCTATGGTGTATATCATCACCTCTGATTAGTTGCTCATGTAGTGGTTCTCCATAAGGTTTAACTACTTTTTTCATCGGTTGTTGTTGTTGTTGTTGCTGCTGCAGTTGCAGCAGTTGTTGTTGAAAACTTGCACCACGATGTATATTATCAAATGGGGATGAAGTGGATGATGAGTGTGATGCAAAAAATGAATTAGAATTGGAAAACATTGAATTTATATCTTCAAACACTTGAGAAAACATGTCGTTGGCAAATGGGTGTTGAAAATTGCGCCTGCTGCTACTGGCACCGCCACCACTGTTGTTTCTCGATGTTGATGATGCTGTGTAGAATTGGTGATATTGTGGTGACAGAAACGTTGAACCACTGTATCCCAGTTGTGGCAGTGTATCAGTCGTGACAACCAGATCTAGTCCTTCTTCACCATATCTATCATAAATGGATCGTTGGTTGGAATCTTTAAGCACTTCATAAGCTCTTGTCATTTCTTTGAATTTCTCAGTCATCTGAGGATCATGATTTGTCTTGTCAGGGTGGTATCTCAAGGCTAGCTTCTTGTATGCCCGCGAAATCTCCTCAATAGTTGCATTAGACGTGACTGATAGAGTGTCGTACAAGTATGTTTCCCTTACCATGGTGGAAAGTGTATGTGTGTGTGTTTGTCTGTGGCTAGTGTGGCGAAATAACTGTGCTGAGTGAGCGTGTTGCTCGTGTGAAGCTGCGTCCTGTTATATAGTTTGGTAATAGACTGTGCGACAAAGATGCTGATTGAATAGGACGAAAAGGAACTGTCAATAAACCAAGCTTGAGAAGGGTCAAATCAAAGCATATGACCTAATATAAACAAAGCCTAGTTGATAGTAGATGTTGTTGTTGTTGTGTTATCTATTTGATGGCAAAATGCTTTTACTTTTTGATTTTACTAGTGTGTATCCCTCCTTGTCTGACACTGTTTTCTGGATCTGTTAGAAATGGGAATAATTGGGAGGGGATGGGTAAAATAGGTACTTGGGTATGGGTTTTTGTAACGTAGTATATGTAGGACCAAAAAGACAATAGAAAAAGATAAATAAATAAATAAATAAGAAAAAAAAGAATTCTTTGGAATAACGCAGAACACACAAAAAATTAAATTATTAAATTAAGTTAAGTGGTTTAAGTCAGTAAAAAATATATGATAAACTCTTAAGCCTTTAATCCTCTATTGAAAGATAGTCTTTTTAGCCGTAAAAAGGATTGTAAACTCCAAAGTGTATTAGTGTTGGTAATTTTGGGGATTGCTAAAAGATGGATAGATAGCTAAAAGATAGTGGTAGATAAATGTTTTGGTATATTTTTGTATATTCTATTTATTGTCTCAGATTAAATATAAATTAACACAAGACACATAAGAATTGCTACCTTCTAACTAGATTATGCCCTTGTTTTGTTCTTTTCAGAGTATCATAACCAAGTAAACAGTAAGTTCGAAGAGAGAACAAAGAATATATCATTTATGCAAGAGAATATAACCAACCAACCAACCAACCAACCAACCAACCATATCGTAAATAGACGAGAGATAGAGAGAGAGCGTGTGTGTGTGGGGGGGGGGAGTAGTGTTGGTATGTTCCTATGTTAGAAAGTCAAAGTACGTGCGCAAATATCCAAATTCTATGATTTTCTTTAATCTTCTTCCAAATTGTCCTTTTAAAGTGTAAAGTAATAAGGTAGGTAGTGTACTTTGATACAAAAATTGTCTATTAGCATATACATATATATTTGATTGCGTCATATACAATGCATAAAAAATCTGATAGTTGTTATCATCAATGTAAAGCATATCACTACAAATGTTTGCGTCGTATAGTATATGCTCTGGACTGAATATACCTTCATTGAAAAGTCACTTAATCTCTGCTCCAGTTAAACAAATAAAAAAATAGTATAAGAGAACACCCTTTCTGTGCTCACACGGTATAATACCTTTTGCGCTTTCTAAAGACAGTAAGGGCGCAAAATTTCAAATATTTACGAGAAAGATTATTAATTTTCCTCTTTGTCCATTTCCCTAAATAATTTTCTACCTGCACCTTCCTCCCTCGCTTTCTTTGACACGTCTATGCAGTTCAAGTGAAATATTTCAGGTTGTTAGAATGAAGTTTTTGTAACGACTGTGTGATGGTCTAGTCCACTTTGCGTCAGAACCTTCGATGTTTCCTTTAGACTGGCCTCAGTATGACAATAAATATATAGTGTCTCTCTCTAGGATGTGTGCTATAACTTATAAAGCTGCTCCTCATTCGTCTTTAATGCTGCTTTCCGACTTCCCTATTGAGACCACTATTCCCTGATTAAATTTGTTGCCCCAGGTGGAGGTGTATAGGACTTTGGGGGGTAGCGGATTTGGCTGTATGGTTACCGACGAATTTAGGATAGCGAAAACAATCTTTTCGGGTAAATGTTGTACCAAGTATGGAGTTTGTGCCGAGACAGTTGAATCTTGTTTTTGAAAAATGTTTGAGAAATCTGTTGGCAAAATATTTGCTGGCCAATTCATTGATGCCAAATATTACAAGAAATATGTCATTTTGAATTTTGAAGTGGTTAAGACCTTTGATCAGTGAATAGTACAAGATTTTTTTGTTTTCTTCTAGTTTTGACGGGCTGTGATTGACAATATTTTCTCCTATGTACTCACGACTTTGTGTGGGATTCTTTTGAAGCGAATAAAAAGGTGAGTCTTTTGCACTATTGAAGGTTTCATATGAAGGACGAATCAATCAAGTTTGCCAAATCGTGGTTTCAGAACAATGAAAAATTGCGTCGATTGGTAAGCGTGCTTATCGATAGCGGTTCCAAAGAATTGAAACTTTGGAAATAACCCTGATTGTTGACAAACTTCTTGAAATGAAATAACGTGGTGTTTCACTTTTCGGCATTGAGGGCCTCTATGTACAACCCAGAGAGTTGAGGATATATTTGAATTTGATTCACAACAGTGTAGGCGAATCCATAAAACACAAAATGACCAAAAGATTTTTTTTTTCCCGTTAAATGGGGTCACTGATTTAATCCTTGTTGGCAAGGTTCAGATACTCAGCTTGAATTACATCCCAACACCACATTTGATGGCCTTGGCGTATTGCTCGAAAAAAATTCGAACGCAAAACACACCTACTTTCGAAGTCAATCAAGCAAGAATGAAATTCCCCTCCAACACAACAACCACCATCGAGATTGATATGTAAGTCTAACTGCACGGTGCACTCAGTCAATTTGAACATGTCTGGAACGATGAAGCTAACGCTTAGTTTCTTCATGCCTTTCTTGGCATCAGTGTCTTAAAGAAAAATTTGAAGAGAGAATTATGAGTCTATTACAGGATTTGTTAGTATATAAATGACATGGTGAACAACAAGCCATGAATCCACTACACCATGCACTTGATCTAAACACTCGACTACCACCATGACATTGAACTTGAATGACGCTTTACTATTAAAACGTCAGTTGCTGAAGCCTGTGTGTTGTTGTAAAATGGTGGATCGAATACAATGTTTTTTATCACAGAATGCGTATGTCTGTACAAGAAGAGACAGACAGAAGAGCTTCTTCAGATCAAACTGCTTTTGAAAGTGTTGCTATATTAGATAATACGATGCTCGTCTTGGAATATGGTCAGAGATGAAATGCCTGCACATGGATAATAGGATATTAGAACCAAAACTGTTTGTTAAGTTGTTTTCGTGAGTGGAGTGATGTTTGAAATTGCAATTGAATCTCAGTTGATGTTTGCCTGAGCCTTAGTTTGCAACTATCCAGAAGTTGACCATTCGATTGAAATATCACTTTGGAGAGATCTTGGATCCTTTTTTTGTTTATTGTGCTAAGATTAGGTAAGATGC